TTCTAAGGCGGATGTACAAGATACATGTTGCAATGTACTGTTGTTGATGCTACAGCAGTTTTTATTGACATATGCCTATCCTCCTCCTTTGGATTCGCCGCTGTCGGTTGTTCTATCGGCACGGAAAATGTTCAATTCATCCAGTGCCACTCCTGAATCTGGTACCTTTTCGTTAAGCCATGTTTCTGTCAGGCATATTAAAGAGCTTTCGCGAAATTGATAGCCATGATTACAGCAACAATCCAGTTCATCCATCTTGTTACATAGTGATCTAACGTTTCCCAAAACAACAGGTGGAAGAAAGCCCTGCTGTCCTCTGTTTCTGCCTTTCCCACGAATGCCTCCCCTTCTGCCCCGCTTTCTTCGTCTCAGTCGTGAATCGGTCGCCATTTGATGTTGGCGTGGCGGAAGTTTACAAAAATGGCGGAAGTGACAATTTTATGCTAGTCTGAGTAATTTGATATCCAAAGTCCACATTAAAGCTGTTTCCAGCGAAAATAAACACACAAAACTCACAAGAAAATCGTCCTTAGCACCTCAATTTTCACTTCACTTGAGTGAAACACAATTAAATAAAACGTGTAAAAACTGGGGGGAAAGCTGAAAAAGATACACTAATGCAAAATAACGAATACATTTATTTTTATAAATTAAAAATGACTAAGTTGTCGTTTTTAAAGAATTTTAAAAAGAATAGTATCTGGTGACTTTAACCGAGTACAATTAGTTTAATCTATGAAGTATCGCTACGCTCAATAATTTTGATAATCCGCATATTTAAGTCTAATCTTGTTAAAGGCTAACAGTATTCTATTATAAATATCGTACTGGTCGCTCCTGATTTTAAGCCGAATTCTTAATTCGTGTTGTTCATACATATCGGTATCTTTATTCATATCTTTTTTGCAATTTCATAAATTAAAAGACTTTTAAAACATTGTATTCAACTGTCAAGGTTTATAATTCTTGCTAAGTATCAAACATGCGCAGTCTTTTTTCAAAATAGATTTCATTACAAAATCATGACTTTTAAAGTAGGGATAGGTGTTGATTAAAAATTGAATGATGATATTAGGCTTTAAAAAAATGTATTCTCATACTTATAAATATACTCGATTCCATATATTGGTAGACTGAATGCTCTGATAGCGCTTGTCTCCATGCTATTTTAGCATGCTCACAGCGCTCTGATGTCCAAAAATCTATTTAAAGAAAAAAGGCTTTAAATGTTTCTTTAATGATTTTTTATCAAAGATTGAGACAAACTGATCCATAATTTTGGTGCTATAGCTTCTAAAGAGCGCAGTACATATGACTTCTTTCTGTTTCCATCCACACTGGGAACTCTAAGTAAGGACTGTGTTGAAGAGCGAAGGTTCTTTAAGGATGGGTGTTTAGAAATCACAAAATATTCATTATTATCATTATTTTACCAATAGCTTTCCCCGTGTCCTATTTTCTTTCGGCCCGCACAAGTTTTTCATAAAGTATTACGGCCCACCTTATATTTTCAGTGCAGGCCTGCTTTGAGATATTCAGGTGCAGAGCCTTCTATACAGCTGTACGCCAGGGACATAATTTTGAAGTCAATGCGTACTCACAGGAAGCCGATTGAGATCTTTAAGAACTGGGGTGATGTGGTCAGATTTCTTTATCCGCGATACAATTCGTGCTGTAGTATTTTGTACCTTCTGGAGTCTCTGAATCTGGTTTTGAGGTAAAACCCACAAACAACTTTTAAGTAATCTAATCTTGATTAGAGTGACTGTTAAGGCATTGGTCGTTCTCTTAATAAGTTGAGGACGCGGCTGACGCAAGGCGCGTAGATGACAGAAATAAGTCCTGACCACAGAAAAAAGATGAGGAATCATTGCAAGTTTACTGTATAAATGTTAAATTTTATGAAATAGAAACTTTTAAAAATTGAGATATACTTTTCAAATTAAGAATTTAACGGGCGCATATAAATAGTGCACGTTTCATCAATTATTAATGAAATAAAAAACGTTTGTTTTCTTTAAACGTGCTACTTTGGTAACAAAGTTTCCGGAAAAACAGAGGTCAAAAAAATAATTAACACGTATTTATTAAATGTCAAACTGCTTTTATATTTTTAATGTGAGAATAATAAACAAATTGCCCCAACTTTTTGCACGCATTTTTTTTTTAAATTAACATTTTTTTCTAGATGAGAATCTATCAGAAGGCTAAAAAACAAAAGATTGCTGTGAACTACCACTTCGATTATCATGCGAATTCCATTTATTTTTGTTGGTACTTTTTTTAGAATAAATTCTTATTCTTAATTGGTCAGTTTAAAGTAACTTCTTTGAATTTTGGAGAAAAAACAATTAAAGTGTTTCTAAGTGGCCATTTGTAATTTATCTGAAAAAAATTATAGTCGTTTGAGATTTCAATAAACTGAATATTGGGAAATGTTAACTTTATTTTGTAAACAACTTACATAATAATGTACGACTTATAAAAATGATCAGTTTTGATAACCCATAAAATGTATAAACATTTCTATTTCAGAGTTCTTATATCTTTTTGACTCTGATAAAACTTGGAAATATTAAGCAATGGTTATTATTACAAGTAAGTTGAGTATTATAAATATTTTATTTTCATTTGTGATTATCCACATCCCTCTTTTCCTTATTATGTCTTTAACAATAGGCTCATGGTATGCTCCATCCAGTAAGTATTTGTTGGTGATAGTGTTTGGCTATTTGATCTTCATGATCTTTCCAAGGCTAGTGTTAAAGGAGGTCTGTACTTTCTGCTGGGCTCTGTGTCATGGGCCGTACTGCTGGACATGTGTCATTGGTCGTACTTCTGGACCTGTGTCATTGGTCGTACTGCTGGAAATGTGTCATTGGTCGTACTGCTGGACCAGTGTCATTGGTCGTACTGCTGGACCTGTGTTGTTGGTCGTACTGGTGGACCTGTGTCATTGGCCGTACTGCAAGACCTGTGTCATTGGTCGTACTGTTGGGCCTGTTTCATTGGTCGTACCGCTTGACCTGTGTCATTGGTCGTACAGTTGGGCATGTTTCATTGGTCGTACTGCTGGACCTGTGTCATTGGTCGTACTGCTGGACATGTTTCATTTGTCGTACTGCTGGACCGGTGTCATTGGTCGTACTGCTGGGCATGTGTCATTGGCCATACTGCTGGACCTTTACAGTTGGGCATGTTTCATTGGTCGTACTGCTGGACCTGTGTCATTGGTCGTACTGCTGGATATGTTTCATTTGTCGTACTGCTAGACCGGTGTCATTGGTCGTACTGCTGGGCCTGTGTCATTGGCCATACTGCTGGACCTGTGTCATTGGCCGCACTGCTGGGCCCGTGTCATTGCCCGTACTACCGAACCTGTGTCATTGGTCGTACTGCTGGACCTGTGTCATTGGTCGTACTGCAAGACCTGTGTCATTGGTCGTACTGTTGGGCCTGTTTCATTGGTCGCACTGCTGGGCCTGTGTCATTGGCCGTACTACCGGACCTGTGTCATTGGTCGTACTGCTGGACCTGTGTCATTGGTCGTACTGCTGGACCTGTGTCATTGGTCGTACTGTTGGGGCTGTTTCATTGGTCTTACTGCTGGACCTGTGTCATTGGTCTTACTTCTGGACATGTGTCATTGGTCGTACTGCTGGACATGTGTCATTGTTTGCACTGCTGAACCCGTGTCATTGGTCGCACTGCTGGACCTGTGTCATTGGCCTTACTGATGGGCCTGTTCCATTGGTCAGACTGCTGGAATGTGTCATTGTTTGCACTGCTGGGCCCGTGTCATTGGCCTTACTGATGGGCCTGTTCCATTGGTCGGACTGCTGTACATGTGTCATTGTTTGCACTGCTGAACCCGTGTCATTGGCCGTACTGATGGGCCTGTTCCATTGGTCGGACTGCTGAACATGTGTCATTGGTCGTACTGCTGGGCCGATGTCATTGGCCGGATAGCTGGACCTGTGTTATTGGCAGTACTGCTGACTGCTGGGCCTGTGTCATTGGCCGTACAATGGGCCTGTGTCATTGGATGGACAACCGGACTATGTCATTGTCAATGTATATAATTCCTTTTCCCACATTTGATTTTTTTTAGACTCACTTCTTCAATTTTCAGCATTCCATTAATTTTTGGCACTGCATCCCTTTTCAGTGATGAAAGAATAAGGGTGAGAAATGCCAATTATTTAATTTCTGTTTTAATCTTTATCAAATTATATTTCGGCTAGGTGGGTTTTTTTTTTTGTTGAGAAATAAATTCAAAGTACTGATGCATGATGGATTGGTTACAATATGATGACCATTTTTTAGAAGGGAAAAGGGGATTGGGGTTGGACTGTAATGGAGGAAAATCCTTTACGAAGCTAGCCCTGAAGTGTTTTATTCTCAATCTTCTCGAAGTAATCACACCTGCTCTTCCTAGTCATGGATAAGCTCTAAGAATTGCCTTGGGACACTTATGTGAACAAAGCCTCCTTGTGATAAAATCGGCCACTTCCTTATCGAGTTTTAAAAATCTAGGAGAGCTCTCTTTGATCCCTGCTTGTCCTTATGTCTTTCACGACACATGTCACAACTAACAAACTGAGAAAGCTGTATTTAAATATAAATGAATAATGCAAAGAAAAAGGGGAACCATTACTAGATCAATATTAACATTATTGGATTCCGCGTTAACATTGATGCTAGTCAAATATCTGACTAATCAACGAAATAAAAACGTCTTTAATTGTACCAGAAAAAAACAACTGAAACTCTAATGTAGCGAGCAAATGTAAGAAAAAGTTGCTAATGCCGACCCTCTTTACCCTCTCATTCCTCCCCACCCTCTTACACCGTCCCCACCTTCCGACATACTCCCTTGAGATGCCCCGCCTTAAACATAACACGAGGCCCGAAGCTCGATATTGACAGACGAACGAGCACCTCGAAAACAGCGCGTGGGGGTTGATACAGACTTGGTGGTTATGACATACGAGTTAGGGGGTAGGGGTGGAAGCCAGCTTGGCCAGTCTGCGACATTTTATTTCTCGTCTTAATTTGTCTTCTTTGGACGGTGTCCAGCATGACTTGACTCACCCGCGTGCATTTCTCCCCTCTTTCGCCCACGTTCATCCAGATGTGTGTGAGTTAACATCCGTTCAATGTATTAGAAGAAGGAGAAAGCGGCGGATGACTCTATCGACTTAGGAAGTTATGTTAGGCGCCACATCTCAGCGTATAGGCTTCCTTGGTGATACTTGCTTACACCAATAAGTCGGATACATCGTATAGGCTTCTATCTAACTCGATGCAATGATAAACTAAATTATACCATCTGCAGACATGTTCTTTTGGGAAATGTTGTACCAAATGTTGATCAAAAAGGTACCCACCTTTTATTGATTGATATTCGATTATCACGGCTCTCCTCTTCAGAATTTGTATAAGACAAACGTATTGAGTTATTTATTTTAAGAACGACAAAAAGGTAAGATGTTTTGGATACATTTTTTAGTGTTAAATGTTTTCAATCTTCCTATGGCCACTTTTTTCATAATTTGTATGGTCTCTATTCTATGAGTGAACAAATGGTCATGTTATGACAAAAAATTGTTTTTTCTAAGAAAATTGTTCACTTAAGAAGAGACAAAACCTTTTAGGTAAAACATGTTTCATATCATAAGCATTTCATTTCTTCAATCGAAACAAATTCAATTTTAATCCATATATTGAAAATTCAATATCAATTGTTTTAGTTTATAGGAAATTGATATATCCGTTTAAGATATATGTGATCGAATTTTGGTGTCTGGAAATTCTTCAGTGACAGAGCTAACGAACAGCCTTGATTTAAAGTGAAGCTAAGGAACTTACCTGTTACAAGTGTCAACAGTTTCATTACATGTTGCCTCTTTATACAATCCATCGATTCAGCTATCCAATCACCCATCTGCCGTTTCATTGATGAAATTTGTGATCACTATGTTCCATTTTTAGCAATGGTTGATAATTATTCATGTATTTGATCATATAAATGATTGCATAAACAATGTTCATACTTAGTTAATGGTGCGCTGCATATTTTATAAGAGTTTTTTCATCTTAAAATTGTTGTTTTTCTTATGAGTCGTTTCGATTAAATGAGCGTGACGTATACGAAGCCCATGGATTGAATAACATGGCATAACAATATGACCTTGGAAGCATTGAGTTGGTACAAAACACATTATGGATTGAAGAACATGGCATAACAATAACACATTGGGAGCATTAAGTTGGTACAAAGCCCATGGGTTGAATAACATTGCATAACAATATTATATTGGGAGCTTGAGTTGGTACAAAGCACATGGATTGAATAACATGGCATAACAATATCATATTAAGAGCATTGAGTTGGTACAAAGCCCGTGGATTGAATAACATGGCATAACAATAACATATTGGGAGCATTGAGTTTGTACAAAGCCCATGGATTGAATAACATGGCTTAACAATATGACCTTGGGAGCATTGAGTTGGTACAAAGCCCATGGATTGAATAACATGGCATAATAATAACACATTGGGAGCATTGAGTTGGTAAAAAGCCCATGGATTGAATAACAGGGCATAACACTATCACCTTGGGAACATTGAGTTGGTACAAAGCCATTGGATTGAATAACATGACATAACACTATCACCTTGGGAGCATTGAGTTGGTACAAAGCCAATGGATTGAATAACATGACATAACACTATCACCTTGGGAACATTGAGTTGGTACAAAACCCATGGATTGAATAACATGACATAACACAATTACCTTGGGAACATTGAGTTGGTACAAAGCCAATGGATTGAATAACATGACATAACACTATCACCTTGGGAACATTGAGTTGGTACAAAACCCATGGATTGAATAACATGACATAACACTATCACCTTGGGAACATTGAGTTGGTACAAAGCCAATGGATTGAATAACATGGCATAACACTATCACCTTGGGAACATTGAGTTGGTACAAAATCCATGGATTGAATAACATGACATAACACTATCACCTTGGGAACATTGAGTTGGTACAAAACCCATGGATTGAATAACATGGCATAACACTATCACCTTGGGAACATTGAGTTGGTCGATGAGATTGACCGGGATTTATGGCAACTCAAAATTAGTTTATTTAGTGATAAGGTGAGGGGAGACATTGGTGGGAAGGGGAGAGTAATTGTCATATAGTAAAGAACATTTGATGATGCCAGCCGGAAAATGACATTTAAATTGAGAACAAGTCATTGTACAAGTTCAATAAAAATCAATGTTGGACTCTAGAAACTGATATTTCCGTAGCCATTTCCATTATAATTGGTTGTAAGTAATTAAAAGCATTTTTACAAATATTTATTCTGGTGATTTTTTGCTCTTTAAAGCACACATTGGTATGTGTACAATATATAAGAAACCAACGTTTCAATCTAAAATGATATGTTCTTCCTATGCACAATGTTATGATTGTGTATACTTTAACTGCGTTTAACACATTAACCTGTTTAAGTTTCTTTGTTAGATCATTTTATTTTTATTTAAAGAGGGTCATTATTCTCTCTCCCCCCCCCTACTACGATGGGGGATCACTGTATGTGATATGTGGGTTAGAGACACACCGAATTTCGGCTTCGGTTTTGGCTCCGAAAGTTGCCATTTGATTACTTTCGCCTAGTTTCAGTTTCTCTGGAAACTGAAAAGTTAACTTTTGGTTTAATTTCGGTTGCGGCCAAAAGTGATTCAGACTTTCGGACATATCACCGAAAGTGACTGAGGTTTTCGGTCATCTACCAGAAGTCAGACTGTCTGTCTGCCGGCAATCCGATATTCATTGTTGCTCGACGTCTTGCTGTCATCGTATGTTATATGATTAATACTCTGCGAATATCGTTCACAGCTGTTTGATGACTTAACTTGTCTTATATTTCCATAAAATTAAAATTTCAAGTAGGCCTAGGCAAATTTAAACAGTTTTGTGGAAGAAAAACTAATGGAATGGTAATATTTCATATCATTATTTTTGTTTTCATTTTTTTTCGAAAAATAAAAAGTTAGAACCCTAGTTTATTCAATTCCTTCATTTGTGATATTCATTTTGATTTATCATTATCATGCTCATCAATGTTGTCATAGGCAAAGATGAATAATAGTGAATAATTCAAGGAATTGGGAATATTTCCATTATTATTTTTATTATTATTTTTTTTAATCAAGGAAACTTTTCAATTAATTAATTTCTTGAAATTCATCATAATCGTGCCCATAAATATTGTTATTTACGAAATAACATGAGTGTTCATGTATCACGGGTCCTTATTATAATTATGTAGTAGGCCTACTGCACACATATATTTTGCGAATCTCCGACGAGTATTAGTATGGCGATAACCACGAAACAATGGAATGATATTTTTATAGCCTTAATAAATTATATTGAGGTGACTATTGACTCTATTAGAACCAAAATAATTATTGTAGGTAGTATCAGATATAAGTTCTAGTTTGTAAATATAGTATAAAAGCAAAGGACACTCAAGGGTCTATTTTTTATAAATTTTGCCACTCTCCCTCCCCCCTCCGAGCCAAATTCTCTCTTACCATACTACTTTAAAAAAAAAAAAACATTTTTAAGAAATTTAAATTACTTTTAAATTAAAATGGCAAAAGTCAAAGTATTCATTAGATTTTTATTTATTAATATTCACGATGATCTCATTTTGTATAAAAAAGAATGTAACTATTGATACTTTACCCCATCGATGAAGGTAGAATGTATGCATAAACAATTTCAAAATATATAAATATTTTGGTTTCGGCTTCGGTTTCTGACGAAAGTCTCTCTAATCTTTTGGTTTTGGCTTCGGTTTCGGCCGAAAGTCACTTTAAGCTTTTTTTTTTCCGCTTCAGTTTCAGCCGAAATTCGTTTTTAACTTTCGGCATAATTTTGGCTTAGGCTGAAATCAGAAAATCACTTTCGGTCACTCTCTAATGTCGGTGTATGCATTTTTTTATATTTCTATAAGAGTTGATATGCATGACTTTAAACTGGTGGACCACGTAGAAACAAAAACTGTATTCATTATCATCGTTTAAGCATAAGTTGGAGAGATTAGAACAATTATGAAATTGATCTTTTAAATCCAACAAAAGTATTTTAATTTGTTTTAAATTAGCCCATTTCTTATCACTACTTCTGTCACTGTTGGGTGTAATCGTAACATTATACGATAGACGTAATGAGTTTTATTAGCAACTATTTGTAGTTATAAGTTTTAAAGACTATATATTTTTTACCATGGTAACAAAAAGGTTGTTGTGTTTTTTAACATCTTATATCTGATCTGTGGGAAGACCTTAACGTCAAACTGGATGTCTCTTTTTGTGTAGTTGATGGTGTCCCAAACAGTCAGGGCTCTTGAAAGTGTAATGAATGTGATGCATGGTCTATATTGTGGTGTAAAGTTTCTTGCAGTAGCTCTATGCTATTGTACATGTTTTGTGTGCCGGAGTGGGGGATCTCTACTATTTTGGATCCTTCATAAGTTGATTGGTATGATATTTAAAAGTGTGTTTGTGTTCGTACCAGTGGTTGATTTTTTGTCAATCAGCCCTTATTGATAGACAAGGCGACGCTCGAGCTCGGTTTTATTTCCTTTTGTTTTCATCCCCATGGTTTTACTTGTTTTGCTGTGGCATTCCTTCCCACTAAGAACCAAAAGCTGACACCCCAAGTCTCCACACTGGGAGTCCGCGTTCGCCAGACGGATGTCTTCAATGTTGGTTCCATCCTAATTCCTATCGCCCGGCAGGACTCACAATTCCCCCCCCCCCCCCCCATTCCCTGTCACCTTTTTCTCCCGGCATTCCATTTTTCATTGTTGCTTTCGGTAATTTTAGTATTAACCAGTGGATGTCCTTTGTGATCTATGTCTGTGCGAGAACTTTCGTGAGCTTGGGGAACAGGCAAGGTTGACCAGATCTTTCCGCCACAATATTGCGGTATGTTCCACATCACGATTGGTCAATCATACATATCCATGAGGATTCAAATTCTGAGTCAACCTCAGGGGAACCATTGAATGAAGAAAGATAGAGAGTTAAAGATTCTGCTGAGAAGAAACAAAGCTTAAACTATCAACTTTGAATCTGATTTTTAAACCTAAAAATTACAAGCGGCCTCCAGAATGCACGCAACTGCGCGTATAGCTTCAAATCAAAACTTTAAACTCAATTCTAATAACGTAGTCTCTAAATTCTAACAGTTACCGTCAAGGTCCTTGTGAAGAGTTTGTGTTGAGTTCATATGAAACCCTAGCAATTTTATTCAACGAAAAATCTCTTTCATTAAAACAAAAACAAAAATAGTACAAAGAATCATACCGATTTAAACAAAAGCAGGTCGTTAGCTTCTAACGTTACTAAAACAATCAATAAACCGTCCATTACTAAGTTTGCAAGCTTTGCTTTCTAGACGACAAATTTTCAAAAATTGGCTTTTTTCAGACATGTTGGCATTTAATAATTATTTGGGCTCTTTCTTGGATTGAAAAAAAAAATCGTTATCTGGAAAAAGTACAAACGGGCAATTATACGTTTGTTGTGAACTTAAAAAGTAACTTTTCGTGTATGAAGTCAGTTGTCACCTCAGCTTAGCCATGCATGGGAATTGCAAAGAGTTTCAGGCGATTATTGAAGCCATCCGAAATTGTCATTGCCAGTAATACGATGAATATGCTAACGTTAGGCTAGATGTAGTGAGCTTGTCTGTCGTGTTGCTTGACTGGTTGGGTTCAATGGTTAGGCTGGATGTAGTGAGCTTGTCTATCTTTTTGCTTGACTGGTTAGGCTGAATGTAGTGAACTTGTCTGTCTTGTGGCTTGACTGGTTAAGCTGAATTTAGTGAACTTGTCTGTCTTGTGGCTTGACTGGTTAGGCTGGATGTAGTGAGCTTGTCTGTCTTATGGCTTGACAGGTTAGACTGGATGTAGTGAACTTGTCTGTCTTGTTGCTTGACTGGTTAGGCGAGATGCAGTGAACTTGTCTGTCTTGTGGCTTGACTGGTTAGGATGGATGCAGTGAGCTTGTCTGTCTTGTGGCTTGACTGGTTAGGCTGGATGTAGTGAGCTTGTCAGTCTTGTGGCTTGACTGGTTAGGCTGGATGCAGTGAACTTGTCTGTCTTGTTGCTTGACTGGTTAGGCTGCATGTAGTGAACATGTCTGTCTTGTGGCTTGACTGGTTAGGCTGGATGTTATGAGTAGAGACCGATCGAATTTCTGCTTCGGCTTCGGTTTCGGCTCCGAAAGTGTCCATTTTATCACTTTCGGCCAAGTTTCGGTTTCGGCCGAAACTGAAAAGTTAACGTTCGGCTTAATTTCGGTTTCGGCCGAAAGAGAAAAGTTAACTTTCGGTTTTTCTTCGGTTTCGGCCGAAATTGACTTAGACTTTCGGCCATCTGGCCGAAAGTGACTAAGGTTTTCGGCCATTTTAATACTCAGCGAAATCGATATTTAACAACAAACTAAGAGACATTTAAGAACAAACTAAACAATCTTTAAAACAAACTAAGCGATCTTTAAGAACAATCTAAAGGATCTTTAATAACATTTAGACGATCTAATATTACAAACTAAACGATTTTTAAGACCGAACTAAATGATCTTTAAGAACAAAACAAATGACATTTAATAGTAAACTAAATGAATTATAAGAATAAATTAAGCGATCTTTAACAGAAAACTAAATGTTCTTTAGGAACAAACTAAAAGATCTTTAACAACAAACTAAACGATCTTTAACAACAAACTAAACGATATTTATGAACAAAATAAAAGATCTTAAACAACAAACTAAGCGATCTTTAACAACAAACTAAACAATCTTTAACAACCAACTAAGCGATCTTTAAGAACAAACTAAACGATCTTGAACAACAAACTAAACGATCTTTAATAACAAACTAAACAATATTGAACAACAAGCTAAACGATCTTTAACCACAAACTAAACGACCTTTAACAACAAACTAAGTGATCTTTTAGAACAAATTAAGAGATCTTTAAGAACAAACTAAACGATCTTTAACAACAAACTAAGCGATCTTTAAAAACAAACTAAACGATCTTTAACAACAAACTAAACGATCTTTAACAACAAACTAACCGATCTTTAACAAAAAACTAAACGATCTGTAACAACAAACTAAGCGATCTTTAAGAACAAATTAACCGATCAATAACAACTAACTAAGTGATCTGTAAAAACAAATTAAGCGATCTTTTAGAACCACATTTTTTAGAGACCCTGTTTAAAAAAATTGTATTTTGCCATAATTTCCCCTCCTCCTCCCCCCCCCCACCACAATTTTTGCCAAATTTTTTCCTACCATTCTAATTTTAAAAATTGTAAAGCAATTTAAATTAATTTTATATTAAAATGATAAAATCCAAAGTATTCATTAGATCAAGAGTCTCAAACTCAAATCATGGGGGGAGGGGGTGGGGCAAAGGAGGTTGTGTCTGAATGAGAGTGGGCCGCATCAAGTAATCCACAAAATAACGATTACAATCTGCTCAACCTTTATAAATAACTATAAAATCATTAAGAGGGTCCCAAGTACTACACACTGTTGCCAGAGACCTGGCCTACAAAAATATATAGAAACACTTAAAAAAGAAAAAAAATCAGAATTACTATTAGACTAGTCGGTAAGATTAGACTGAAACCGTCGCGGAGAGTCACGTTATAGACATGAGTATAGGGGAAACGGGCCGGCGCATTTAAAATAAAATTTTCTGTCATGTAGTGGGCCAAAAAATATCGTCTTGCAGGTCACAAATGGCTCGCGGGCCGCGAGTATGAGACCCCTATTTAGATGTTTATTTATAAATATTCCCGATTATCTCATTTTTTATAAAAAGAATGTAAATATTTATACTTTCCCACATCATTTTCGATGTATGTATGCAGAATGTATGCGGGAACGAATTTCAAAATACCTTAATATTTCATTTTCGGTTTCGGCTTCGGCTTCAGTTTCGGCCCAAATTAATTTTTAACTTTCGGCCTTTTTTCAGTTTCGGTCGAAAGTCATTTTAAACTTTCGGCCTATTTTCGGCTTCGGCCGAAATCAAAAAATCACTTTCGGTCGGTCTCTAGTTATGAGCTTGTCTGTATTTTGGCTTGACTGGTTAGGCTGGATGTAGTGAGCTTGTCTGTCTTGTGGCTTGATTGGTTAGGATAGATGCAGTGAACTTGTCAGTCTTGTGGCTTGACTGGTTAGGCTGGATGCCATGTAATTGTCTGTCTTGTGGCTTGACTGGTTAAGCTAAATTTAGTGAACGTGTCTGTCTTGTGGCTTGACTGGTTAGGCTGGATATAGTGAGCTTGTCTGTCTTGTGGCTTGACTGGTTAGGCTGGATGCAGTGAGCTTGTCAGTCTTGTGGCTTGACTGGTTAGGCTGGATGTAGTGATCTTGTCTGTCTTGTGCCTTTACTGGTTAGGCTTGATGTAGTGAGCCTTTCTGTCTTGTGGCTTGACTAGTTAGTCTGGATATAGTAAACTGGTCTGTCTTGTGTCTTGACTGGTTAGGCTGGATGTAGTCAGCTTGTCAGTCTTGTGGCTTGACAGTTTAGGCTAAACGTAGTGAAAGTGTCTGTCTTCTTGCTTGACTGGTTAGACTGTATGTAGTGAGCTTGTCAGTCTTGTGGCTTGACTGGTTAGGCTGGATGCAGTTTACTTGTCTGTCTTGTGGCTCTACTGGTAAGGCTGGATGTAGTGAGCTTGTCTGTCTTGTGTCTTGAGTTGTTAGGCTGGATGTAGTGAGCTTGTCTGTCTTGTGTCTTGACTTGTTAGGCTGGATGTAGTGAGCTTGTCTGTCTTGTGGCTTGACTGGTATGCTGGATGCAGTGAACTTGTCTGTCTTGTGGCTTGACTAGTTAGGCTGGATATAGTGAAATGGTCTGTCTTGTGTCTTAACTGATTACGCTGGATGTAGGGAGCTTGTCAGTCTTGTGGATTGACTGGTTAGGCTGGATATAGTGAACTGGTCTGTCTTGTGGCGTGACTGGTCATGCTGGATGTAGTGAGCTTGTCAGTCTTGTGGCTTGAATGGTTAGGTTGGATGCAGTTTACTTGTCTATCTTATGGCTTGACTCGTTAGGTTGGATGTAGTGAACTTGTCTGTCTTGTGGCTTGAATGGTTAGGCTGAATGTAGTGAACTTTTCTGTCTTGTGGCTTGAATGGCTATACTGGATTAGTGAGCTTGTCTGTCTTGTGGCTTGACTGGTGAGGCTGGATGTAGTGAGCTTGTTTTTCTTGTGACTTGACTGATTAGGCTGGATTTAGTGAACTTATCTGTCTTGTGTCTTGACTTGTTAATTAACATGCATTGAACTTGTTTGTCTTGTGGCTTGATTGGTTAGGCTGGATGCAGTTTACTTGTCTGTCTTGTGGCTTGACTGGTTAGGCTAGATGCAGTGAGCTTGTCTGTCTTGTGTCTTGACTGCTTAGGCTGGAAGTAGTGAGCTTGTCTGTCTTGTGGCTTGACTGGTAGGCTGGATGCAGTGAACTTGTCTGTCTTGTTTCTTGACTAGTTAGGCTGGATATAGTGAACTGGTCTGTCTTGTGTCTTAACTGGTTAGCCTGGATGTAGTGAGCTTGTCAGTGTTGTGGCTTGACTGGTTAGGATGGATATAGTGAACAGGTCTGTCTTGTTGCGTGACTGGTCATGCTGGATGTAGTGAGCTTGTCAGTCTTGTGGCTTGATTGGTTAGGCTGGATGCAGTTTTCTTGTCTGTCTTATGACTTGACTCATTAGGCTATATGTAGTGAACTTGTCTGTCTTGTGGCTTGAATGGTTAGGCTGAATGTAGTGAGCTTGTCTGTCTTGTGGCTTGACTGGTAGGCTGGATGCAGTGAACTTGTCAGTCTTGTTGCTTGATTGGTTAGGCTGGATGCAGTTTACTTGTCTGTCTTGTGGCTTGACTGGTTAGGCTGGATGTAGTGAGCTTGTCAGTCTTGTGGCTTGATTGGTTAGGCTGAATGCAAAGTGCTTGTCTGTCGTGTGGCTTGACTGGTTAGGCTGGATGTAGTGAACTTTTCTGTCTTGTTGCTTGACTGGTTAGTCTGGATGTAGTGAACTTGTTTGTCTTATGGCTTGTCTGGTTGGGCTGGAGGCAGTGAGCTGGTCTGTATTTTGGCTTGAATGATCATGCTGGATGTAGTGGGCTTGTCATTCTTGTGGCTTGACTGGTTAGGCTGGATGCAGTGTACTTGTCTGTCTTGTGGCTTGACTGGGTAGGCTGGATGTAGTGAGCTTGTCTGTCGAGTGTCTTGATTGTTTAGGCTGGATGTAGTGAGCTTGTCTGTCTTGTGGCTTGACTGGTTAGGCTGAATGAAGTGAACTTGTCTGTCTTGTGGCTTAATTGTTGGGCTGGATGTAGTGAGCTTGTCTGTCTTGTGGCTTGACTGTATAGGCTGGATATAGTGAACTTGACCGTCTTGTTGCTTGACTGGTTAGGCTGGATGCAGAGGACTTGTCTGTCTTGTGGCTTGACTGGTTAGCCTAATGCAGTGAACTTGTTTGTCTTGTGGCTTGACTGGTTAGGCTAGATGCAGTGAACTTGGCTGTCTTGTGGCTTGACTGGTTTGGCTGGATATAGTGAACTTGTCTGTCTTGTGGCTTGACTGGTTAGGCTGGATGCAAAGTACTTGTCTGTCTTGTGGCTTGACTGGTTAGTCTGGATGTAGTGAGATTTTCTGTCTTGTGGCTTGACTGTTTAGGCTGGATGTAGTGAACTTGTCTGTCTTAAGGCTTGTCTGGTTAGGCTAGATGAAGTGAACAATTCTGTATTTTGGCTTGAATGGTCATGCTGGATGTAGTGAGCTTTTCATTCTTATGGCTTGACTGGTTAGGCTGGATGTAGTGAACTTATCCGTCTTGTGGCTTGACTGGTTAGGCTGTTGGTAGTGAACTTGTCTGTCTTATGGTTTGTCTGGTTAGGCTAGATTCTTTGAACTGGTCTGTATTTTGGCTTGAATGGTCATGCTGGATGTAGTGAGCTTGTCATTCTTGTGGCTTGACTGGTTAGGCTGGATGCAGTGTACTTGTCTGTCTTGTGGATTGACTGGTTAGGCTAGATATAGTGAACTTGATTGTTTTGTTGCTTGACTGGTTAGGCTGGATGCAGAGGACATGCCTGTCTTGTGGCTTGACTGCTTAGCCTAATGATGTGAACTTGTTTGTCTTGTGGCTTGACTGGTTAGGCTAGATGCAGTGAACCTTGCTGTCTTGTGGCTTGAGTGATTAAGCTGGATGTAGTGAGCTTGTCTGTCTTGTGGCTTGAATGGTGAGGCTTGATTTAGTGAGCTTGTCTTCTTGTGGCTTGACTGGTTAGTCTAGATGCAGTGAACTTGTCTGTCTTGTCGTTTGACTGGTTTGGCTAGATGCAGTGAACTTGTCTGTCTTGTGGCTTGACTGGTTAGGCTAAATGTAGTCAACATGTCTGTCTTGTGGCTTGACTGGTTAGACTGGATATAGTGAGCTTGTCTGTCTGGTGGCTTGACTGGTTAGGCTGAATAAAGTGATCTTGTCTGTCTTGTTGCTTGAATAGTTTGGCTGGATGTAGTGAACTTGTCTGTCTTGTCGCTTGACTGGTTTGGCTGGACATAGTGAACATGACTGTCGTGTTTCTTGACTGGTTAGGCTGGATGCAGTGAACGTGTTTGTCTTGTGGCTTGACTGGTTAGGCTAGATGCAGTGAATTTTGGCTGTCATGTGGCTTGACTCGTTTGGCTGGATGTATTGAACTTGTCTGTATTGTTGCTTGACATGTTAGGCTAAATGTAGTGAACGTGTCTGTCTTGTGGCTTGACTGGTTAGACTGGATGTAGTGAGCTGGTCTGTCTTGTGGCTTGAACGGTTAGGCTGGATGTAGTGAGCTTGTCAGGCTTGTGGCTTGATTGGTTAGGCTGGATGCAAAGTACGTGTCTGTCTTGTGGCTTGACTGGTTAGGCTGGGTGTAGTGAGATTGTCTGTCTTAAGACTTGTCTGGTTAGGCTAGATGCAGTGAACTGGTCTATATTTTGGCTTGAATGGTCATGCTGGATGTAGTGAGCTTGTCATTCTTGTGGCTTGACTCGTTAGGCTGGATGTAGTGAACTTTTCTTTCTTGTGGCTTGACTGGTTAGGCTGGATGTAGTGAACTTATTTGTCTTATGGCTTGTCTGGTTAGGCTAGATGCAGTGAACTGGTCTGTATTTTGGCTTGAATGGTCATGCTGGATGTAGTGAGCTTGTCATTATTGTGGCTTGACTGGTTAGGCTGGATGCAGTGTACTTGTCTGTCTCGTGGCTTGACTGTGTAGGGTGCATGTAGTGAGCTTGTCTGTCTTGTGTCTTGACTGGTTAGTCTGGATGTAGTGAGCTTGTCTGTCTTGTGGCTTGACTGGTTAGGCTGAATGAAGTGAACTTTTCTGTCTTGTGGGTTTAATGGTTGGGCATGATGTAGTGAACGTGTCTGTCTTGTGGCTTGACTGGTTAGGCTGGATATAGTGAACTTGACTGTCTTGTTGCTTGACTGGTTAGGCTGGATGCAGAGGATTTGTCTATCTTGTGGCTTGACTGGTTAGCCTAATGCATTGAACTTGTTTGTCTTGTGGCTTGACTGGGGTGGCTAGATGCAGTGAACTTGGCTGTCTTGTGGCTTGAATGGTTTGGTTGGATGTAGTGAACTTGTCTGTCTTGTTGCTTGACTGGTTAGACTGGATGTAGTGAGATTGTCTGTCTTGTGTCTTGACTGGTTAAGCTAGATGCAGTGAACTTGTCTGTCTTGTTTCTTGACTGGTCAGGCTGGATGTAGTGACTTTGTCTGTCTGGTAGCCCAACTCGTTAGGCTAGATGAAATGATTTTGTATGTCTTTTTGCTTGACTGGTTAGGCTGGATGCAGTGTACTTGTCTCTCTTGTGGCTTGACTGGTTAGGCTGGATGTAGTGAGCTTGTCTGTCTCGTGGCTTGACTGGTTAGGCTGGATGTAGTGAGCTTGTCTGTCTCGTGGCTTGACTGGTTAGGTTGGATGCAATGCGCTTGCCTGTCATGTGGCTTTACTGATTAGGCTGGATGCAATGCGCTTGTCTGTCATGTTGCTTGAGGGGTTAGGCTGGATGCAATGAGCTTGCCTGAGATTTGGCTTGATGGGTTAGGCTGGATGCAGTGCGCTTGCCAGTCATGTGGCTTGAGGGGTTAGGCTGAAAGCAATGCGCTAGCCTGTCATGTGGCTTGAGGGGTTGGGACAAAATAAATTGCTACATAATTTCTAGGCCTATTCCCAGTACATGAAGGCACTGAGGAAATCTTTTTCAATTTGATTAGTGAGGAAATCAGAAAATGTTACCAAAGTTCATCGGTTTTGCATCGGATGGAGCTTCAAATTTTATCATTTGTAACAATTGTGTATGGTCTAGAATGAAAGAAATATCTCCTGCACTAACATATATCTGCCATTCGCATGATACATGTTGGTCTTAGATAGGATGACCTAAATAGTCCATAATAGGCCTATTCCCAGTACATGAAGGCACTGAGGAAATCTTTTTCAATTTGATTAGTGAGGAAATCAGAAAATGTTACCAAAGTTCATCGGTTTTGCATCGGATGGAGCTTCAAATTTTATCATTTGTAACAATTGTGTATGGTCTAGAATGAAAGAAATATCTCCTGCACTAACATATATCTGCCATTCGCTTGCACTGTACTTTCAAAATACCCAAGTTACCAATCAAGATTGGATTTTTGTTATCAGATATACCATATTGATTTCGCTATATTGATTTTAGGCGAGACGCATATAGAAATTTTCTTAGAATTATGAATTTGATTCCGAGCAAGCTTGATCTGGCCCTCTACCTTTTCAAAAGCCTTCATCTACTAGGGGACTTGTGCGAAGAAAAATTAAGTTCAATATGTTGATGAATTGAGATCTGTAGAATCATAGACCCTGTCTGATGTAATCTGTAGTACCATAAACTCTGTCTGACGCAAATTCATCAAGCATTCTTGATCGCACGATAACGTTTTCCATCATTTATTTGCTAGTTAAAGTTCAACCCTGGCTCTCACTACAGCGTCTAGACGTTTTGTTTCTTGCTTTGGTTTTAGCAATTGATACAAGAGAATTATTTTCTAAACTACTGCTTTACTAACTGTAGTTGTTAGACATGTAAGCGCGAAGATGGTGGCGAGTTCTTTAAACTATTCATGCTGGAGCATAATAGTTACAAACTTTTCACTATCTTGGGGGTGCCCATCTTTCTCAAACATCGCTGCTTAGTTCTAATAAGTTTGAAACCAAAATCCCCATAATAAATATCTATTCTCAACTATGCCTCAGACAATGTGTATGGTAATATAGATCACATCAGACAATCTATATGGTACTAAAAATTACATCAGAAAAAATAAATGGTACTACAGATTAAAGTCTTGGAAATATTATGATCTGGAGTTGTTGTCGTGAAATTAAATGTACCGCGCTATATAAGACCCCTTATTATTATTATTATTATCATTATTCATGTATCCTCTTTTTAGTACGACCGTACGAAGAGATAGTATCATTTTTTTTTAAATAATGAGATTCCTTCATGTCTTTTAATCTTAAATCTCAATAAATCACTAAATCTCCGCCATAGATGACACCACATGTATATTTGGCCTTTTTAGGTTTTTAAGTTCACATAAATTTTATTATGGCGTCCCTGTAAAAAACGAGAATAATACTTCAATCTTAAGGTTGGAAAGGGGACGTCCATTAATTACGTCAACAGAGTAGGAGGGAGGGGGTTTGGATATGTTTGTCAGTTGTTGACAAGTTGGAGGGAGATGGATTTAGATTAGTTGACATCAACAATCATGTTTTTCCATTAAAATTTTTATCTTAAATGGTTCCTACATTATTTTAAACAATATAATGAGTGTAAATAGTGAAACATATTTTTAGGCTTTTAACAATATAAGAGTTATTTAATGTGCGTCTGTGCACTGCAGATGGCTGGTCAGAATGTTAGCCCAATTGGTTACTGCAAGAGAAGTCAAAAGGTGACATCTCTTCACCTGTCATTTTTCTCTTAATCCGCTGAAAAAAACACCAACTCATCGGTGTTCAATAACAACTATACCAAGTCAAAGACAGAGAGAGAGGTTTTGGCAACTATTGCTCACACAGAAAATGTATTTATAAATTTATTTATATTATAGTTCATTTTTTTGTTGACATAATTAAATAGGGAGCTCATCGAAAGTTTGAACGTTGTTTAAAAAAAGGGGAGGGGGAGGAAATTGCAGAAAAATTGCTGACGTAATAAATGGATGACCCGAAAGAGATAATACACAACTGAATGTACTCGCTTAAGCTCCTGACTGATCTGTATGCAAGAATATGCCCCCGAACTTTCATGTGTGTGTTAATTGTTGGTGGAGTAGCGAAGATTAAATGGTTTTATTCGGGGTATACGAACGTTTGGGAAAAAAGAGTTAGACTTATGATACATGCATTTTACTTGATAACATTCACGCCCACATGTCGGTATATAAACGCGCAGTTTTTCATTTTGTGTTTTCATTTTCATTTATTTTGACATTTAAAAGATATCCACTTTGAAATTATGCATTTTCTAGCCTTTTAACAAAATTAAAGTGATGGAGATTTCTGTAGATAAAAGAAGAAAATATAAAGGTTGTGCCTAAATTTTATAACAGTGACAAAAACTTAATAAACTTAAAATTTTGCCGCCCTTTCTTCTTTTTAAATTATGAAATAATCCCCATCCCCCCCCCCCCGGTCCTTATTTTCTTTTTAAGTAAAGTTTTTATTATTAAATTTTGACATTTTAACAAAATGGATTTGGGGATCTTAGCTTTACATGCCATAGCAAAATTGATTAAAAATAAATTGAAACAGCTGAATCAAACTGTAATCATTCGTGTCAAGTGAAAGAAAAGGCTTTTCGCTCGAGTTCATGACGTTTTGGATGCACGATATCGTAGCTATTCTATTACTTCTCTACACCGCGACGAAAGAAAGTTCTTGTCGGTGAACTATGAAATCCTCATACACTCCTTAAGTCTTTGTTAATGTGTTTGCATACGAACAGCTTGGAAAAGGGAAAGTAGGGCTCAATACCGACTCTGCTTGACATTGATTTGAGTCCGTGGGAAAGCAGTTGAAATGTTTAAATGTCATCGAATGATGCATTCTGTATTAATAATGGCATGGCGCATGATACATGTTGGTCTTAGATAGGATGACCTAAATAGTCCATAAATTTGTGTGTGTTGAGGTTTTATGACCAATCCACACAGCAAACTAATAAAGAGATACATAAAAACAACATGTCAACTCCAAACACTTCAGTATATCTGCAATTAGTTTGAACTTGTTCAACACTCGGCTCAAAGGCAGCGAACATAATCTCTGCAAGGGTTCTCTTGACATGCCTTTTAAAAGCCTTAGTCAAAGTAAACATCCCCAAGGCTTTTGGCAACTTACGTTAAGCTTTAACACCATCAATAAGGCAATGTCACGTTATTTTTGACACCATCAATAAGGCAATGTCACGTTATGTTTGACACCATCAATAAGGCAATGTCACGTTATGTTTGACACCATCAATAAGGCAATGTCACGTCATGTACTCACGCCAAAAATCTATTTTATTAAAAGTATTCGATATTTTTTAATAAAAATCTTCAAAAACGACAAAAAATATTTAAAAAGAATAATTTAAAAGAAGCGGAAACCGATATTTTAAGACAAGAGCACACCTTTGACTTTCGACGATGTGTTACAGACGAGAGCACACCGTTGACTTTGGACTATGTGTTAAAGACGAGAGCACACCGTTGACTTTCGACGATGTGTTAAGACGAGAGCACACCTTTGACTTTCGACGATGTGTTACAGACGAGAGCACACCGTTGACTTTGGACGATGTGTTAAAGACGAGAGCACACCGTTGACTTTGGACGATGTGTTAAAGACGAGAGCACACCGTTGACTTTCGACGATGTGTTAAAGACGAGAGCACACCGTTGACTTTGGACGATGTGTTAAAGACGAGAGCACACCGTTGACTTTCGACGATGTGTTAAAGACGAGAGCACACCTTTGACTTTGGACTATGTGTTAAGACGAGAGCACACCTTTGACTTTTGACGATGTGTTACAGACGAGAGCACACCGTTGACTTTGGACTATGTGTTAAGACGAGAGCACACCTTTGACTTTTGACGATGTGTTACAGACGAGAGCACACCTTTGACTTTGGACTATGTGTTAAGACGAGAGCACACCTTTGACTTTGGACTATGTGTTAAGACGAGAGCACACCTTTGACTTTGGACTATGTGTTAAGACGAGAGCACACCTTTGACTTTGACGATGTGTTAAGACGAGAGCACACCCTTGACTTTTGACGATGTGCTAAGATGAGAGCATACCTTTGACTTTCGACGATATGTTAAGACTATAGATTCCTACTATAGATTTCGCATCTTACCAAATCACTACGCTGAATGGTCCATCCATGCTTATAGCTTACTATATATTTACTCGTTGAGGCAAATTTTAAATAGAAAACACAATGCACTGCTTTTACAAGATATGATGTCATACATTTTTACACACTATTTTTTTAAACATTAAGTTTTCCACACCATTTAGAACATTTTTTTTTCTTTTAAATTGGTGACTAGAATGATTAATTTTGGAACTGGGTTAGAGGGTTATTTTAGTCCTAAAGAAAATAATGGAAACTCGCCCAAGATCCCCCCCCCCCTTTTCCTCCTAAATAAATATTTATGTAAAAAAACAAAAGAAACATAGAAGAACCCCCTAAACGTGCTTTCCTGCAGGACTCGAGCCATGTTAGAGGAATCAATGGCGATGAGACTTTTAAAACTTCGTTGTCTGTTATTCAAGTCTCTCTGTTTTGTTACATTTACCGAACCTGTTTTTTCCAAGAAATCCTAGATCAGACAATAAACTTAAGATTTTCTCACCTTTAGTTACGTATTTTACTTTACTTATTTTCACGAAACCAAATACAACAAAAACTCAACTATTTTGTTTAAGGGTAAGTTGTTTAAGGGAACATCGCTTTAGTACAATAATTAAATAAGTTCATAAAAATCCATCAAACAAATCTCAATTCCAATGCTTTTTAATAATCCATTGCAACATATAGTTATGACTTTGATCAAATTGATAGATGAATATTTCAGGCTGTGATGTTCAAAGTCTGCCTCGCTCGATGATATTATTAGTTTTAAACTGAAGTTTCCTGCCTAGGTTTTTTTTTCTGTGTGACTTAAAACTTTCAAACCCAAACCATTTTTTAAAATAAATTTTATATGTCGTTTGTCTGTTCCATTTCAGGTGATAAAGAAATCCAAATCCAAGTCAAACGATTTAGGTCTGCACCACAATAATTTATTTTCAATGGATCTTTGCAAAAAAGTGAAAAAAATTAAAAGATATCTTCTCATTATAAGTGGCATTTGTGTCATCTTCTTGCTCATCGTTGACAAGACCCCATTTGTATTCAGCGTCCATCCTGTTAAAGAAGATGACGTTCCAGGTAATGACGACTCCTTCCCCTACCGTCAATTTTGTATCCATCCACAGCTGGACGTCAACGACTCCGTCATGTTAAACTTTATTGTCATGTACTCACGCGAAAATTGTGAATTTAAGGAAAACTGGGTCTTTATCCAAAACGGCACCCTCCAGTTTTCTGAAACTGTATTGAAGAATTATTCTCATTTTACTTGTGATTATTACCCGATAGAAAGGATCGGGGATTACAATGTCACGTGGGGTGACCCAACTTTAAACATACCATCTGGCTTTCAAATAACGTCTGATTCCTTCAGAATTAGATGTCGGGTCAGCGGAGTTGACTCTTACGATGGTCTGCATTCAGGTGTTGCTTATACACGGGAAAGAGCCGAGAGGGTGGAGGCGCCTCTGGAAAAGGGTTTCCAGGGTCTCAGCATCGCAATTTTGGGTTACGATTCCATGTCCAGGATGTCGTGGCTGAGACGTCTGCCAAAGACAAGGAAGTACTTCCACGACGAGCTAGGTGCCATAGAACTGGAGTCACACAATATCGTGGGGGATGGAACCACGGCTGTGCTGTTTCCAATGTTGACTGGAAAATTTGAGTGGGAGTTACCCGAATCCAGGTGAGTAGATTTGGTAGATTCCAAGTGAGTAAATTTGGTAGATTCCAAGTGAGTAAATTTGGTAGATTCCAAGTGAGTAAATTTTATAGATTCCAAGTGAGTAAATTTTATAGTTTCCAAGTGAGTAAATTTGGTAGATTCCAAGTGAGTAAATTTGATAGATTCCAAGTGAGTAAATTTGATAGATTCCAAGTGAGTAAATTTGATAGATTCCAAGTGAGTAAATTTTATAGATTCCAAGTGAGTAAATTTTATAGATTCCAAGTGAGTAAATTTTATAGATTCCAAGTGAGTAAATTTGGTAGATTCCAAGTGAGTAAATTTGGTAGATTCCAAGTGAGTAAATTTGATAGATTCCAAGTGAGTAAATTTTATAGATTCCAAGTGAGTAAATTTTATAGATTCCAAGTGAGTAAATTTTATAGATTCCAAGTGAGTAAATTTGGTAGATTCCAAGTGAGTAAATTTGGTAGATTCCAAGTGAGTAAATTTGGTAGATTCCAAGTGAGTAAATTTGGTAGATTCCAAGTGAGTAAATTTGATAGATTCCAAGTGAGTAAATTTGATAGATTCCAAGTGAGTAAATTTTATAGATTCCAAGTGAGTAAATTTTATAGATTCCAAGTGAGTAAATTTGGTAGATTCCAAGTGAGTAAATTTGGTAGATTCCAAGTGAGTAAATTTGGTAGATTCCAAGTGAGTAAATTTGGTAGATTCCAAGTGAGTAAATTTGATAGATTCCAAGTGAGTAAATTTGATAGATTCCAAGTGAGTAAATTTTATAGATTCCAAGTGAGTAAATTTTATAGATTCCAAGTGAGTAAATTTGGTAGATTCCAAGTGAGTAAATTTTATAGATTCCAAGTGAGTAAATTTTATAGATTCCAAGTGAGTAAATTTGGTAGATTCCAAGTGAGTAAATTTGGTAGATTCCAAGTGAGTAAATTTGATAGATTCCAAGTGAGTAAATTTGGTAGATTCCAAGTGAGTAAATTTGATAGATTCCAAGTGAGTAAATTTGGTAGATTCCAAGTGAGTAAATTTGGTAGATTCCAAGTGAGTAAATTTGGTAGATTCCAAATGAGTAAATTTGGTAGATTGCAGGTGAGAATCAGTTGAAGAAGAATTTTTTTTTTAAATTACTAAATTATTTTTTGGACCTAGTATGACAACTGTAACCATAATTAAGTTATGCCTGAAGTGATGATGGTGAAAATAAGAGACTCTGTTGGTGGATGATAAGATTGAGTAGACCTGCAAATTGGAGTGTGGGGAATTGTGAATGAGATCTTTTAATGACTTTGAGTACTTTCTTACGAAGTCACAACTTCTCTGAGATTGATATGACAGCTGACTCTGGACATTTTTTAAAATCTATTTAAGGTTTCAATTACTGTTCTTAATTTTGTATCCCATTTCAAATATTATGTTACATATAATGCGAAAAGAACAAGTATTTAAATGGCTGCCATCAGAGACTATATGCACATACAATGTGCATATTCTGAAGTGAAAAAAAAATGCGATAAAATCACTTTAAACCTCATCATGATGGTATCTGTTTAGTTTGTGTTTAAGTGAACACAAGAAATTTAGGCTTTATGATTTTTCCCATACGAAAATACTCAAAACGCAAAGACCCCAAAAGATGAATACGCGACAATGGAAAAACGGAATATTATCCTCGCGTAAAATTCCTCAAATGTTTTAGACGATAATTGTATTTTTTTTTAAAATTATTAATTTTTTAAAACACAAGCTTTTGTCATATTTATTATTCATTGTCAAGGTAGCCCGGGACTATCCATAAAAGGGAGGGGCTGAATACTAAATAACAGTAGATGAAATCAGAAGAATTTGACATTAAACGGCTCTCAATCTTGTTGCGTAGGCAAATGCACAGAGTAGACTTCATTTGATGTATTTCAAAGCAAAACAGTAATAATAATAATAATAAAAAAAATTAAATTAAATTACAGTTTTCGAAATCCTGGTGGTCCTGATAGGCATAAAGTCAGATACTACCCGCGGGCTAAATTAAGTTAAAGTAATAGGCCTACTCAAACTTGTAATATCACGATTTATAAAAATAAAATTTATTTCATTGAAGACTGGCCCGCCAATACATTTTCATTGAATGTTTAATTCCTGGAAAAAATTTGGGGAGTATTTGAAGAATCATCAATGTGGGGAATTTTCTTCGTGCGGAATAATCCGTGTTCTCATTGTACACAATCTTCTTGTGGGGATTTTTCTTATGTGGAACAATCCGTTCGCATAAATGTATTTCAAGTGTAAAAAGCTTCTTTTACAAATCTTTTTGTGCCAAAGAAAACAAAGCCAATAACACAATATTAGTTGTTGTTTTTTTATTTTATTTTCTTCTTATATTATTATTGCTACTCTATTATTATTTCTTTTTTTTTTTTAAATTGATGTTTTCTTTTTTTTGCCACATGGTGTATACGCAAACAAGTTTAATCTTGAGTGAAGCTCTACCTGTCCTTGTCCATACTTAAGGTTTCTACTTGTATGTGAACAAATACAACGAGTTAAAAAATTCTTAAATCATAAAACTGGATACCATCTTTTCTTCTACTCCCCAGTCTTCGGATGCGGCTTTTCAAAAAAAAATATACGGATAATTTTTCTTCATAAATGTCTCATTATAACAATTAAAAATCAATCATTTTTATATCCCTTATATTAACTTCGCTTTTGTTTGTGGTTGGCTGGCTGGCTAACTAGCTGGCTGGCTGGCTAACAGCTGGGTGGCAAAATGTTCGTAAGGCTAATTTACCCACATCCCGTCAAGCGATGATACATTCTATCAAATTTTCAGCCCCAACCCCCATTTGTCTGTCGTTTTTTAAGGGGAAGATGAAGTAAGTATGATGATACTAATTTCATGTAATAAAATTCCCGATAATTGCGCTAAATGAAATTCTTTTTAAAAATACATCTATATCGCAAGTGCGTTATTGCGTGTTATTTTGATTTGTTTTCTGAAATGGTGAAAAAAATCTGCGGAATAAGAGCGGGTGGGTCCTTAGAATATGAATATAAGGGGGGGGGAGAGGGGGGTGAGCACTAATTTGGATTCTTATCAAGTGCGGTATTTGTAGGCATGTTTTCTCAAATTTTCAGCCCCACCCCCCCACCCCACATTGTTTGATGTTACACAGGATTGAAGCGAAAAACTTTGTTTTTAGGGTATGTTTAATTGCGTAGTGAATTGAAGTAAATATTAAAATGTGAATTGTGGCAATGGGTAAAACTTGAAATTGTGTTTGGTCAGACTTTGAGTGAATGATGGAATGAGAGGGCGTGTGTGCATGAGAGAGGGAGAGAGAGAGAGAGAGAGAGAGAGAGAGAGAGAGAGAGAGAGAGAGAGAGGGGAGGAGAGAGAGAGCATATGCGCGCGTGTGCGTTTTGAAAAGGGGAAGGGATTTACATGATTTTAATTTTACTTTTCCATTCTTTCATTACACTTCGGTAAATTATCCTATTTTGCTTACCTTTTATTGGTGTTCAAACTTATTAGCTTGCGAGTTCTTTAAAAACTAGTCTTGAACAGTAAAAGTTGACCAGACCTTAGACACAATTGTACTATCAATGTTTAATATCCCCAATAATGTTGAGTAGGATGGACTCACAGAGACAAGGCCAATAATTATTTATACCGACATTACCGCCCCTCAATTTGTGCCGGGATGAAGTGAGTGAAGGTTGCAGGCAGTGTAAAGGTCAACTAGTACGATCATTACTGTTTAATCGATACACTTGGCGTCACATGACTACCGGTAGCGTGGATTCTTGTTACGTGTTACAGCATAGTTACTGAAAACTGCTTTCTATTTTGGATACGGCCCCGGGAACTACGCGCTAAGGAAAAAAAAAAGCGCAAAGTGAAAGCCCGGATACGTGCGCGCAAACCCAAGTCCTTTTATGCGGGCTTTTTAACCTCACCGGCTTTTTTTTTTACACACCCAAATCTTGATCTCTTTGTACGAATGAAGTTATACTTTCTGGCAACGAAACAAACATTTCATTCAATAGGTGGCCTAGTCGCCTCAAACAAAGGAATGTTACAAACCAAATGCTTTTAATGCAATTTTTTAAGAGGAGTATAATCAAGAGAATTGGACAGCTGTAAAAGACGCTATGTGGCCACTTGAGTGACAATAATATGTGTGTGGTTTGGGGGGGGGGGCATTCGTGCGAAACGAATCTGACATTATTTTGTTAGAATAGCTGACGTAACAGAATCCAACAAAATATGTGTATGTGGTTAGCTTCAGATTCTGTGTCAACACCATATAAAAGACATGAATTATGAATGTTCTTAATGAAATAATCAGAAAAGACTTACAATAAACTGATTATGTATTGTGTGTTTGTATGTCCTTCCACCCACTACTGTCAAATAATAAAAAGAAATTATCACTTTACTTTATTTTAAAAAGTCGTCTTGTCATCGGTATCATTGCATCTCACCATAATGTCATGACATCCAGATATATTCATCTCACCATAATGTCATGACATCCATATATATTCATCTCACCATAAGTTCATGACATCCAGATATATTCATCTCACCATAAGTTCATGACATCCAGATATATTCATCTCACCATAAGTTCATGATATCCAGATATATTCATCTCACCATATTGTCATGACATCCAGATATATTCATCTCACCATAAGTTCATGACATCCAGATATATTCATCTCACCATTGTGTCATGACATCAAGATTTATTCATCTCACCATAATGTCATGACATCCAGATATATTCATCTCACCATAATGTCATGACATCCATATATATTCATCTCACCATAAGTTCATGACATCCAGATATATTCATCTCACCATAAGTTCATGATATCCAGATATATTCATCTCACCATATTGTCATGACATCCAGATATATTCATCTCACCATAATGTCATGACATCCAGATATATTCATCTCACCATTGTGTCATGACATCAAGATTTATTCATCTCACCATAAGGTCATGACATCCAGACATATTCATCTCACCATAATTTCATGAAAACCAGATATTTTCATCTCGCCTCTCTTTTTGCCTGGTTTATGAACGTTTGAAGATTCATAAATGTTGGATACAACATCTTGGAAACACAGTTTGAACAAAGTTTCAGTTTTTGTTTGTTCGCTGAAGAAGGCATTTTGCAACAAATTCTGTTTGACAAAAGTAATGAGATCTCAGTGACAATATTCTCCCCTTCAAAGCCATGCCACAACTTATGGTCAACTTCACCACTAAACTCATCTCATAATATACACTTAGCAGATCGGCTAGTTTCTTTAGGGCAGCGACTTCCCCATTCCCAATGGATTACAGTGGTAATGAAACTCTCAACAGTGGCTAGAACTGATGAATGTAACTTACAGATGAACTATGGTCCAATTATAGCAGATCTCAGGGATACAAAACTTAAGAGCTTTTTGATAAAAAATACCTGTAGAATGTAAAGATGTATATTGTATTGCGGCTGTTTGTAGAAAAATTTCTTTAAGCCAGGCTTAAATAAGAAATTTTAAAAACAATTCCGAATAGTTGGAACACGAAAACACTTAACTATTTTGGAATTCGTACACCTTTAACTATTATTGAACACCTCCACCCTTAACTAATGTGGAACACGTACAACCTTAACTATTGTGGAACTCCTCCAATATTAACTATTGTGGAACACCTCCACCCTTAACTATTGTGGAACACCTCCAATCTTAACTATTGTGAAACACCTCCAACATTATCTATTGTGGAACATTGCAACCCTTAACTATTGTGGAACACCTCCACCCTAAACTGTTATGGAACTTGTCCAACTGTAACTGTTGTGGAACACCTTCACTTTTAACTATTGTGGAACACGTACAGCCTAAACTATTGTTGAACACTTACACCCTTAACTGTTGTGGAACACTTAATGCCTTAACTATTGTGGAAAACCTCAACTCTTTTTTATTGTGGAACACACCCACCTTTAACTATTGTGGAACACGTACACCCTTAACTATTGTGGAACACGTCCACCCTTAACTATTGGGGAACATGTACACCTTTGACTATTGAGGAACACATACACCCTTAACTAATGTGGAACACGAACAACCTTAATTATTGTTGCACACTAACATCCTTTTCTATTGTGGAACACCTCCACCAATAACTATTGTGGAACAACGCTACCCTTAGCTATTGTGGAACACATCCCCATTTTAATATTTTGGAACACCTCCACTCTTAACTATTGTGGAACACTTAAATCCTTAACTATTGTGGAACACTTACACCCTTAACTATTATGGAACACCTCCACCCTAAACTGTTATGGAACACGTCCATTTTTGACTGTTGTGGAGCACGTTCAACCTTTAAATTTTGTGGAATCTACCAAATTTACTCACTTGGAATCTACCAAATTTACTCACTTGGAATCTATAAAATTTACTCACTTGGAATCTATAAAATTTACTCACTTGGAATCTATCAAATTTACTCACTTGGAATCTATCAATTAATCTTTTGTTAGAAGAATTTGATAAAAAGACGTACTCTTTCTGAAGAAGAAGAAATTCAGTTTAAACTAATTGAGGATCCATTTTCTTTTAATCCCGAGGACATACGAGTTCAATTGCAGCTGGACCTTATCAAACAAAAATGTACGGGAATTTACAGAAGCAAGCACAGACAGAGCAGCCTGCAGGAGTTTTATAAAAATCTGGACCGTGAGAAGTACCAAATCTTTACGAAGTTGCAGTACAAACTTTTAGTGTGTTTGGAACAACTAATCTAAGACTTGTGAACGTGTTTAGCAATACTTAAGTGCTCCACAATAGATAAAGGTGGACGTGTTCAACAATAAGTAAGAGTGGAGGTTTCCACAATAGTTATGGGTAGACGTGTTCCACAATAGTTAAAGGTGTACGTGTTCCACAATAGTTAAGGGTGTACGTGTTTCACAATAGTAAAGGGTGGAGGTGTTCCATAATATTTAAGGGTGTATGTGTTCCACAATAGTTAATATTGGAGGTGTTCAGTAATATTTAATGGTGTACTGATTCCACAATAGTTAAGGCAGCACCTGGTCCACAATAATAAGTGTGGACGTCTTCCTCTATAGTTTAGGGTGTGCATGTTCCCCAGTAGTTAAGTGTGGACGTGCACCACATTAGTTAAGGGTGTACGTGTCCCCCAATAGTTAAGGGTGTACGTGTTCCACAATAGTTAAAGGTGGTCGTGTTCCACAACAAAAAAGAGTAAAGGTTTTCCACAATAGTTAAGGTTGTACGTGTTCCACAATAGTTAAGGTGTATGTGTACCACAATAGCTAAGGTGTTCGTGTCTCACAATAGATTCGGGTGGCCGTGTTCCACAATAGTTAAGGGTGGACGTGTTCCACAATAGTTACGGTTGGACATGCTCCACAATAGTTAAGGGTGGAGGTGTTCCACAATAGTTAAGGGTGGAGGTGTTTCACAAAAGTTAAGGGAAGAGGTTTCCAGAATAGTTAAGGGTGGAGGTGTTCCTCAATAGTTAAGCGTGGAGGTATTCCACAAAATTTAAAGGTTGAACGTGCTCCACAACAGTCAAAAATGGACGTGTTCCATAACAGTTTAGGGTGGAGGTGTTCCATAATAGTTAAGGGTGTAAGTGTTCCACAATAGTTAAGGATTTTATTCCACAAAATTTAAAGGTTGAACGTGCTCCACAACAGTCAAAAATGGACGTGTTCCATAACAGTTTAGGGTGGAGGTGTTCCATAATAGTTAAGGGTGTAAGTGTTCCACAATAGTTAAGGATTTAAGTGTTCCACAATAGTTAAGAGTGGAGGTGTTCCAAAATATTAAAATGGGGATGTGTTCCACAATAGCTAAGGGTAGCGTTGTTCCACAATAGTTATTGGTGGAGGTGTTCCACAATAGAAAAGGATGTTAGTGTGCAACAATAATTAAGGTTGTTCGTGTTCCACATTAGTTAAGGGTGTATGTGTTCCTCAATAGTCAAAGGTGTACATGTTCCCCAATAGTTAAGGGTGGACGTGTTCCACAATAGTTAAGGGTGTACGTGTTCCACAATAGTTAAAGGTGGGTGTGTTCCACAATAAAAAAGAGTTGAGGTTTTCCACAATAGTTAAGGCATTAAGTGTTCCACAACAGTTAAGGGTGTAAGTGTTCAACAATAGTTTAGGCTGTACGTGTTCCACAATAGTTAAAAGTGAAGGTGTTCCACAACAGTTACAGTTGGACAAGTTCCATAACAGTTTAGGGTGGAGGTGTTCCACAATAGTTAAGGGTTGCAATGTTCCACAATAGATAATGTTGGAGGTGTTTCACAATAGTTAAGATTGGAGGTGTTCCACAATAGTTAAGGGTGGAGGTGTTCCACAATAGTTAATATTGGAGGAGTTCCACAATAGTTAAGGTTGTACGTGTTCCACATTAGTTAAGGGTGGAGGTGTTCCACAATAGTTAAGGGTTGCAATGTTCCACAATAGATAATGTTGGAGGTGTTTCACAATAGTTAAGATTGGAGGTGTTCCACAATAGTTAAGGGTGGAGGTGTTCCACAATAGTTAATATTGGAGGAGTTCCACAATAGTTAAGGTTGTACGTGTTCCACATTAGTTAAGGGTGGAGGTGTTCAATAATAGTTAAAGGTGTACGAATTCCAAAATAGTTAAGTGTTTTCGTGTTCCAACTATTCGGAATTGTTTTTAAAATTTCTTATTTAAGCCTGGCTTAAAGAAATTTTTCTACAAACAGCCGCAATACAATATACATCTTTACATTCTACAGGTATTTTTTATCAAAAAGCTCTTAAGTTTTGTATCCCTGAGATCTGCTATAATTGGACCATAGTTCATCTGTAAGTTACATTCATCAGTTCTAGCCACTGTTGAGAGTTTCATTACCACTGTAATCCATTGGGAATGGGGAAGTCGCTGCCCTAAAGAAACTAGCCGATCTGCTAAGTGTATATTATGAGATGAGTTTAGTGGTGAAGTTGACCATAAGTTGTGGCATGGCTTTGAAGGGGAGAATATTGTCACTGAGATCTCATTACTTTTGTCAAACAGAATTTGTTGCAAAATTCTGCTAAGTGTATATTATGAGATGAGTTTAGTGGTGAAGTTGACCATAAGTTGTGGCATGGCTTTGAAGGGGAGAATATTGTCACTGAGATCTCATTACTTTTGTCAAACAGAATTTGTTGCAAAACGCAAAATTTGACAATTCATGTCACTTATCATGACATAAATAGCATTATTTGCAACATTTAAAAGCCCTTTTAAAGTTACTTTATGTAGGACTGACACAAACCCATACTTTATGTTCCTACATTTTAAAAAAAGAAGACAAAAAAAATTATTTTGTGCTGCTGTTAGCTAGATCTATTTGACAGAATTTGAGAATTAAATGTGCTGAAAAAATACACAGGAAAAAATGTTACTCAATTAAAAATCTATTTAATGCAGTCAAAATATAATAATAATAATTTAAACATATATTAATAATTTTATTTTAAAAATTGTTGCTAAACATTCCTTCACAACTGAATATTAAGATACCAAACTATGTGTTAAAGCTGCACTTTGATAAAAGACAATTTAAAAAATTTGCTTCGAGATAAAAAATAATAAAAAAAGAAACCAAGTGAGAAAATCTGAATTAAAAATTCCAGACGCAAGTGAAGTAGCTACTCGTCTTGACGTAGTTTGGCATTTCTCTCTTTGTCTTTAACTCTTATCTTGAGGTCGCATTTATTGATCTGATAAAATCCATTCGAAAGGAGGTCGCAAGTGAATAAACAAATGTAAGTGTTCCACAATAGTTTAGTGGAAACTTCATGTGAGAGATGGAAATATCGTAAACAATATTAGGGGTTACTTGATTTTTTTCAAAAATGAATATGATTGTAAATAGTTAAAGTGTCATTTAGAGGGAATGGGAGTCAATTCTTTAAAAAATAATGAACGCCGTTCACAATGAGTTGATGAACGACTGCAGCCCTGATTGTAAAAAAAGAAAACCAGTTTAAAACCAGATTCTCAAATTGATAACTGGTTTTCAGAAAAACCGGTATTAACATCACCAGTTGGGAGGATCAGACGGAAATGTAATGATGTAATAAAGGAAGAATAAATATTTGTGTTGGGTTGTTAGATTCAAAAGAACATGAAATATTTGTTTATTGGTCATTACGTAGTTATGCTTTTAAGGTTCTTAAGCAAATAATGTTTGTTTTCTCTTTACGGCAGAATAGCGAGAGTTTGCCAATAATCTCTATCGATACATCAGCTTCAAATTTAATTTATCATTTCACTGGCCAATTATATTGTTCAAAATGGGTGATATCTGTGTTAAAGCTTTAACTAACGAAAATATGATCGGGCTACTAATAAATAAGATTTGAAGTCTGGTTCATAAAAGAATTTGGTAAACAAAGTAATCAAGATTTTTAAAAAGTAGCAGCATTCATCATTGAGCGGCAATGAGAGCACACTTACCACTAATGTATGGGAGTACAGTTACAACTATAGTTACGAGAGTAAAGTTACAACTAAAGGTATGAAAGTACAGTTACAACTAAAGGTATGGGAGTACAATTACAGCTAAAGGTATGAAAGTACAGTTACAACTAAAGGTATGAAAAAACAGTTACAACTAAAGGTATGAAAGTACAGTTACAACTAAAGGTATGGGAGTACAATTACAGCTAAAGGTATGAAAGTACAGTTACAACTAAAGGTATGAAAAAACAGTTACAACTAAAGGTATGAAAGTACAGTTACAACTAAAGGTATGGGAGTACAATTACAACTCAAGATATGAAAAAACAGTTACAACTAAAGGTATGAAAGTACAGTTACAACTAAAGGTATGGGAGTACAATTACGACTAAAGGTATGGGGGTACAGTTACAACTAAAGGTATGAAAAAACAGTTACAACTAAAGGTATGAAAGTACAGTTACAACTAAAGGTATGGGAGTACAATTACAACTCAAGATATGAAAAAACAGTTACAACTAAAGGTATGAAAGTACAGTTACAACTAAAGGTATGGGAGTACAATTACGACTAAAGGTATGGGGGTACAGTTACAACTAAAGGTATGAAAAAACAGTTACAACTAAAGGTATGAAAGTACAGTTACAACTAAAGGTATGGGAGTACAATTACAACTCAAGATATGAAAAAACAGTTACAACTAAAGGTATGAAAGTACAGTTACAACTAAAGGTATGGGAGTACAATTACGACTAAAGGTATGGGGGTACAGTTACAACTAAAGGTATGAAAGTACAGTTACAACTAAATGTATAAAAGTACAGTTACAGCTAATGTATGAGAGATCAGTAGCGCCAAAGTTTGATGTACTGTCTGAATCATTTATATTCAAAGGAATATAAAAAATAAATTCTTCCGTTTTTAACAACAGCACGTGCTATAATTTTGAAGGATAAATTATTTAACAGTTTCCTTGCAATGTCAAACCCGGTTTTTGCACTATTATATGTTAACTTTTCTATTTAGCCTGCCCTATATTTCCTTTTGAATGATGCGTGTTGGACATGCTGGATGTCAAAATGCGGTGTTCCTTTAATATTGAGAAAAGACCAAATGCTTTCAGTTTAATTCAGCTTATTGTAAGATCCTCCATTTTCCACTTTATCATCACTGTAATAAATAATTTTAAAAATACAGTTTAACTCTATTCACTTACAAAACCCTTATTAATTGGGCTCTATTTACCCCATAAATCACTAACACACACATTCTGGTGAAGGTCTGAGATTACTCTCTTATGAACCCAGCTAGTAAATTGGCTAGCAACTCCATCTGTTGAGCTGAGCAATACAACATTTTCCTCACAAAGGGTCCTCCAACCGCCCTGGCTTTCCCGGGAGATCTAGTGAGGGACTGTTACGCACTGGCTTCTAATATAAGAAATTAATCTCCTATTTTGATTGTAATTGGCTCGTTGTAAGCAGTGCCTAACAGAGGACAATCCATAGAGTCAACAATATTAAAGATACGACACCCAAAGCAGTTTCTAGTTACAATTAATAAGATTTATTAAGTCTTAAGATAATTACAAAAGAAAAGAAAATATAATTACAATCTTCAACTTACAGTATGGTAGATCTTGTACCGGTACACAGTTAACACAGAATAATGTGCCAATCAATAATGATTAAATGTGAAATAAACACATATGAGCACACAATACACAAAGAATAATACACGCCTCGTAAAGTTAATAATATCTATCTGAATCCGTCTCTCCACCCGTGCCTGTCAATCCCTTATATAGGTCGCGTAAGCCCTGCCTTCCAGAAAAGACTTATGACGTGTTGTTTACATTTCTCGGGTTATCGAGCACATTTGAGAAAATACCAGGAAGTCAGTCTAACATTTTTAATTGGTAAACACGGTTGTAAACAAGATACATCAAACGAATAGGCCACGCCCACAACAGACGTTACTGTCTGCTAGGATTCTAATTTAGGTCAAGTAAAATTCAAGCACGGGGAATGTATGCTACATAACAGGGACATTCAGTTAACAGGGGCTCCAGAGTCTCCGGGTCCAGGCTGCAGAGCCGGCAGGTAGGATCGTTGTTGTTAACCAGCTGCCAGAAGTATGTGCCAATGGCATCTGCGTCACTAAGCTCTGATGTCTGCGGCCTAACCCCCGACATGGGTCTTGTTTGCTAGGAGTGGGCAAGTTTGAAAATATTCCTCTGGCGGTCGAGTTGTCTGCCCACTGCCTGTACCACTTTGTCCTGAAGTTGTCCGCCAGCCAGTATTTAATTCCCAAGTAAGTTATTGGTACTTCTGGCTGAGGCTGGGCAGCCCCGGTTTTCACCAGAATGTCTGCTCTCTCATTGCCACTGATGTTGACATGCCCGGGTATAAACTGTATAGCCATCTTGCCCCCTATTTCATCGATTAATTAATGATGACGTCGACCAAGTTTATGGTACCCTGTCTCTTTCCCAAGATCTCGAGAGCAGATCTTGAGTCCGAGTGGACGACTACATCAAGCCCCGCATGCTCCGTCCCTTTCAATGTTTCATGTACTCTCTCTAAGTCCCTGTGCATAGCCATAAGCTCCACATCAAAATTTGATGCTGCAGTCCCACAGGGTCCCGAGAGCTCTTCTGTTGGCCGTCCTCCTGCTGGGTACAGTACGCACCATACCCAGCAGTTCTTTCTCTCAAGTTGGCAGAGCCGTCCGTGAACACTTTCACGGGTATGTGTGCAAACACATCCATGGTCTCAAGGGCAGCCACTTTCTGAACATGTTTAGGGCTACGTTTCGTCACTACTGCATCGGTCAAGGCCAAATGTATGTAAGGACGTGAGGGTTCCGCGTATGGCGGATCAAGTGGAATTAGGGTAAGTCTTTCTCTATTATGGGGCAGCTTGACTGTCCTTTCAAGCTCCTCGACCTGGTGCATGAATGAGGACCTCTTTAGTCGGCTGTCCGCCACCCAGTTATTCTGCATTTGAAAGGCTGGTTCCTTTTCGTCCAGCCGTTGGTACCTCTCTACGGTACTTAATATTGCCTTTTCCCTCCTAATTTGTAGCGGTTCAACATTGGTCAAGACCTCTACAGCAGCTGTTGGTGGGGTCCTGAATGCACCACAGATGAATCTCAGAGCCTGATTCTGGATTCGGCCCAACTTTTCCAATGCGGTCTTACTTGCAAAGGATTGGACTGGCATGCTGTAGTCCATCACCGACCTAAACCACTAATAAAGGTAAATACTCAAAAGGGCTGAGATTCAATCTCTTAGAGCCCTGTACATGATTTCTACGGCGCGCTTCATCTGCTGAGCGCTTCCGTAAAGGAGATCATTAAGGCAGGCCTCCGGATTCCTACCGTCGGCCCCCGTCCCACTGTCCGGACACGTGACAACCAAGTGGGCTACTGTCTCCTCTTCGAGTCCTCAAAAACGGCATAAAAGTTCCCTTCTGTTATCGAGTCGGTGGAGGTAACCAGTTCTCATCTGTGTGATAAGGCTTTGTTCTCCACGACTAAGCTCCCACCATGGGTCGCTTTTGCTCGGTCGCTGAAATTCCCGGTAAAACTGTCGTCCAGTAGTGGCCGTGTCCCAATTTCCAAGCCATTTTCTCCTGAAATGGTCTTTCAACCAGGCAGTGACTCCGAGCTGAGTCATGGGTTTGTCTGGTTGAGGTAGGGCTGCGCCTTCTTGGGCTAAGAAATCGGCCCTGTCGGGAAGCGACGCCTCTAAGCGCGAAGTGATAAGCTGGAAGACTACCTTAGGGCCATGTGCATGGATGGAGCCTACTGTCTCCAAAATGGCAGTGATCTTAGTCGAGCCCACCGATCTCTCCCCCATGTGTTCGAGAGCAGAACGAGAGTCGGTGAAGACCACAACGTCCGGGAAGGACTTTCGTTTAGCTAGCCGTTGGTTCAACCTCTTGAGAGCTACCAGTATCGCCTCAATTTCCGCATCGAGGCTCGTTGCATTCCTACCGCATGGGCCTGATAGCTCCTCGGGTGGGGCTATCTCTGCGGGATACTGGATGAGGACACCATAGCCGCTACCCTTTTCCTCCGTGAAACATGAGCCGTCTGTAAAGACTTTAACCAGGCTATTCGGGTAGGCTTCAATCGTGCGTTGTACAGCCTCTGATGGGTCTGATTGAGGACTGCTTTCGCTGGCTTTGGCGTCAACCATTTCCAGTCGAATGTCTGGCAGGGGAAGACTTTTGTGTGGCCCCCGTGCGGGGATCACTTTCACTTTTTCCCTGTTTCTGGGCAGAGTAACGTCTTTTTCAAGACTGTGCACCATGTCCATGAAGGATGGTCGCTTCAATCTGGACTTTTTCTCCCATTCGTCTTGCAATTTGAAACAGGGATCTTTCCTGTCCATGCGGCGGTAACGCTCTACCGTCGCAAGGACTGCCTTCTCCCGTCTGACCTCGAGCGGTTCGACATTTGAAATGATCTCCACCGCCGCCGTGGGTGTGGTCCGTATTGCCCTGCACACAAACCTTAGAGCACGGTTTTGGATGCGGTCTAGTTCCTCTAAAGCCGTATGGCTTGCGAAGGCTAGGACGGGCAAACTGTAGTCCATTGTTCCTCTCACACTGCTAAGGTAGAGCGACCTCAACAGACTTGCATCTGCACCCCATTTGGTACAAGCCAGCTTTTTCACCAAGCCCAGTTTTTGTGAAGCCTTGGCGCATAGTTCGTGTACGTGGTGATGAAGTCGGAGTTTCTGATCCAACTTGATCCCCAGGTAAACTGGAGTCCTGTCTCATACCAAATCTTTCCCGTTTATGGAGAGTTTAATATCGGCCTCAAGCACCTTTCTTCCGTTTGTGAACTTAGAGTAAACCGTCTTCTCAGTGTTCACAACCATTTTCCACCGTCTCGCATAGTCCTCGATGCTATGGAGATCGTTTTGCAGCCGGTTCTGCAAGTGGTTGATGTTTGGCCCTGAAGTCCAGATTACTAAATCATCAGCGAACATGGCATTATCGGACACTAAGTCCTCTTGCAAGTCATAGACATAGGCCAAGAACAAGGTGCAGCTGAGGGCAGATCCCTGGGGGAGTCCGTCCTCTAGAGCAAGCCGCTTCGATAGACTATTGCCAACCCGTGTGACAATATACCTGTCCTTGAGAAAGTCCGTCACCCACCCGGACATGTTTCCAGTGATTCCCAATTTCTGGAATTTGTACATGAGGCCTACGCGCCACACGCGGTCATATGCTTGCTTGAGGTCAAAGAAAATTGCCAACGAATGATTTTTCTTCTGGAGTTCATTGGTCATGGACTGAACAAGACGGATCACCTGGTCCATGGGCTGCCTACCCTTACGGAAGCCACCTTGCGTCGGTGGTAGGTGCTTTTTACTCTCCAAAAACCAGTAAAGTCGTCCATTTACCATTCGCTCGGCCATTTTACCCACACAGGACGTTAGCGAAATTGGCCTGTAGCTACTTGGTAAATGGCCTGGTTTTCCCTCCTTTGGTACGAGGACCACTATGGCCTGCTTCCACACTTTCGGTAAAATACCTGTAGTCCAAGTTCGGTTAATGAGAGCCAGCAGAAGTTCTCTCCCCAGTTTACCCAGGTGGGCTAACATTTCATTGTGAACTTTGTCTGGGCCTGGTGCTTTCGCCGGCGAGCACTTTTTGAGCGCGTTTTGCAATTCTTCCATTGTGAATGGAACTGTGAATATCTCAGGGTGGGGTCCAGTACGCTGGATACGAGCTCCCCTTTTCTTCAGATGGCGAATTTCCTTATGCTCTGGGGTCTCTTTTGACACTTTGGACTCGTTGTTCACTGCGGCAAAGTGAACATTCAGCACATTGGCTCTTTCCTTGTCGCTCGCCACGACACCTTTGTCCGATAGTAATGGTTGCGGGTTTTTGGCCTTACCCGCACCAGAGAGACTTCCGAGCAGATTCCACACCTTCCCACCGTCTAGAAGATTGAGTTTTTCACACGTTACTAACAACACCCCCGTAATTATTGTGCTTTGTTAACCCACAAACTCCTTAATTAATGAGCTATATTTACTTACAAACCTGCTAAGTATTGCGCTCAATTTAAACTCAAACTCCTGCGATATTGTGCTCAACCTCTTAATTGATTTGCATTATTTTACTGCTAATCAGTTAAATTAACATTGACAGTCAATGGCATGTAAGAAAAAAATATAATCTGTAATCAGTCAAAAGAATGTTTAAAACGCAGCAATAATTAAAGCTACTTTAGTTTAGTTCTGCATGATGAAATCATTACAAATTTTTGTAGAATGCATTTGAAAAATTATATTGTATCAATCCACTGCCATGAGTTCTGATAAAAATATGTGGAACAATTACAGAGCATGACGAGGGATCCTTTAATCTTGACGCTTGACACTCAAGAGTAACACGTGGGCATCATGAGATCAAAGGCAAGAAACACAGGATAATACAAGGAAAGTTTTAAGAGGCCGATGGACTACTAGGGAGCCATTGGACACACGTGACTATATCTTATATTTTTAGTGAACCAATGACCCCACGGGGACTCCTATTTCAATAGGCCAGTGGCCACATAGTGACTATTTCAATGGGCAAATGTCCACACGGTGACTATTTTAATAGAAAAAGTTTGACAGCACATCTAACTTGCTATTATTAAACTTGTCTTGTATGGCGTTTTTTTACAATGCCCTTGCGGGACGCATGAAGTACGGCATTGAATTGTAAATATGGCTGTGTTTGGGGCATATATCGTAATGAATGTATCATTTACCTGTCACACAGTCGACATGTTATGGCATTCACACAAGCAATGAGAATACGCCTTTTAATCTTTAAAAAATAAAAAAAATTTAATAGTAATATGGATTTCTGTTATTTGTGGTGAATGTTTACAATTTACCAGTCCAGGATTGGGTCCAAATTTCCTGTTGATTGTTAGAACCATTGGACTAGGCTATCGATTACTTCATGTGCACAATACTAAGGCTTAAGCAGCAAATAGCTAATGAACTGAATAGAATATGCATGCGTGCTGGCACGAGCATTGTCTGCGATTTAACAATATATAAATACAAGTTTAGAAAGGTGGGCGATACTGGGCAGATTTAAATTGGTCATCATTTAGCCCTAAACTATTCTGATCAAGTGCGGCCATTTTGAGAGTTAGAACAAACGAACAAAAAGATGAAATTTGTTTCTACAAACACAAATGTGGTATTATCAATTTGAGCTACATAATTGGGAAAAATGATAAGCGTTTCAAAATTAATTTACTAATATATTCAAATACTTTTTATTTTTTCCTTATACATTCTTCATCATTATAACTTATTAGAGGACTTTTATTGATAATGTTTGTTTTTCCTTTTCAATTTTAAAGTTATTGTTAAAAAAAATGTTAAATTAGATTTTTTTTTTTAAAAAAAGCTTTTATATCGCAGAAAAAGTCATATAAATTTAGAAGACCCCAGGATATTTTAGAAACGTCAAGTCATAGTTAATAAACAGTAAACTTACCTTACTATTTACCTAAAAAAACGCGACTAAAAAATATTTAAAAATTCATTCGAGGTCTACTGGTTACAGATAATTTTAAAAAGTGGACGCAGCCAAGGGGCCAGACAAATTAAATGGTCGGCTCGTTAAACTATGCTCAGAGCAACCCTCCTACATTTTTTGTCACATATTTAATAAATCTTATGTAACTCACACAATACCAACAATTTGGAAAACTTCAGAAATCATACCAATTCAAAGAAAAATAAGATAACGTGCAACAACGACTTACGACCTGTTCCACTTACCTCTATTGTAATGAAATGTTTTGAGAAACTTATTCTGAGACAAATTTTGAATGAAGTACAGCAAAAACTTGACCCTCACAAATTTGATTTACAAACCTGCAAGAATGCAATCTTACTATTGTTGGAGAGACTTTACCATCACCTAGACAGTCCTAAAAATATACCAGAGTGCTTTTCTTAGACTTCTTTCTCATCAGAGTTAACACTATCCAACCACACTGTTACTCACAGGCTTCTATTGTGAGAAATTAATCTCCTATTGTAATTGTATGGCTCGTTCAAACAGTTCCTAACAAAGGACGATACCATAGAGAAATACAATAACAAAACACGACACCGAAAACAGCACCTATTACAATTAATAACATTTAATTTAGTAATAATACAATTATAAAACAAAATAAATATAATTACAAATCATCAGCTTACAGAGTATTGTAGATCTTATACCGGTACTCAGTTAGTACAATGTGCCAATTAATAATGTACAATGACGAAATGCGAATAAACACATATATAAGAACACAAAGAATAATACACGTCTCGTAAAGTTAAAAAATATCTATCTGAATCTGTCCCTCTCTGGGTCTGTCAATCCCTTTTATATGTGGCTCTACTGACGCGTCCAGAAGCACTCTTACTTTTCTCATACAATCGAGAACGTTCCATAAGATACTAGTAGACATACTAACCATGTTTAATTGGAAGTCGGTGGTAAACACGATACATCAAACGAATAAGCCACGCCCATCTATGAACTTAGCGTGTGCTAGTGGTCAAGCAAAGCTCACGCACGGGGAAAAAGTGTCATACATAACAACACCTTATGATAAAGAAACTTTCCTCGTTAACTATAAATTTAAATATTCAACCTTGGATACTAAACTTTTTTTAAAAAGTGACCACAATATGACAATGTAAATAACCAATCATCTCTAACAAGAAAAATAAGCATCAGGGCACCACAAGGCTGGGTTTTCTCTCCTGTACTGCATACAATATATACCTATGTTATTCAAAGCTCAAGCGACACCATTCCAATCTAAAAAATTTCTGATGATACCACCACCGTTGGCTTAATATCTGAAGGAGTAGGCTTACACCGCATTTTAGTTACAAGCTTTATTAATTAGTGCGATGAAAATTTCTCCACCTGAATGTCTGAAAAACAAAGGAAATGGTTGTTGATTTCAGGAGCTGAAAACACCAGATTACAGATCTCAACATAAAAAAAAATCAAAGTGTAGAGAAAGTAGAGGCATATAAGTACTTATGTGTCACCATTAATAATAAGCTAACATGGCATGAGCACGGTTAAATGCTGTACAAGAAATTCAACCAAAGACTGTTCTACCTCAAAAAACTGTACAATTTCGGCGTAAACAAACAAGTCGTTAACTTATTCTACAGTGCAACAATTGGAAGCCTGCTTAATTTCAGTATTGCCTCTTGGTGTGGGAATTCAACGTCTGATATTAAACACTGCATAAACCGACTAATCAAGAAAGCTAGGACTATAACACAAACTAAACATCCTTCACTTGAAGAACTATTTGAAGAAAGATGTTATTGTAAAACTAAACACATTTTTGATGATACATCCCACCCGCTTCATCACAGATACTTAGGATCGGCCCTTTCGGGGCGAATTCTTTCCGTCAGGGTGAGGGCTGAAAGATATTTTTTTTTTAAATTTTGTTCCCCATCTGTACGAATTTACCAGCGTGCTCCCCCTGAAGTCAAAAATCTTAATGAGAACTAATAAGTCCCTGATATGGTTAAGACACATGTGTCAAACTCAAGGCCCGCGGGTCACATTCGGCCCACCGTGCAATAATATCAGGTCCGCGTGATGTTCCCAATGCACACTTTGCTGAAAAACTTAGCTTACTTCACGACGCGTTCACATGCCGCTTAAGTGACTTTGAAGCACAGAAATGTAATTTCGAATTGTTACGTAACCCATATGTCATAGACGTGGAAACTGTACCTGTAAATTTGCAGGTGGAGCTAATGAGGCTTCAGTGTTATGGTACTCTAAAGTCAAAGAATGACATGTTGGGCCTGCATAGTTCACTCGTTTCATTCCAGAAGAGATTCCCCAGCTTCGTCTAAATGCGGCTCGAACCTTGGGCATGTTGGGTAGCACATATATGTGTAAGCAGCTGTTTTCTGTGATGAAGATTAACAAAACATCACACAGTAGTCGTCTCACAGATGAATACTTGCAGTCCATCATGAGAATCTCAATGACACAGAACGGTACTCCCAACATAAACGAATTTACTTGTTTTTGTAGCCAAGAAAATGTGCCAAACATCCAGCTTTGTCGAATTGCCATAAGAACGACAATGGGAATGCCAATGATTTTTAATGATTAAAAATGTGTCTGTTTTCATTTAAATAAATGTTGTTGTTTTTTGTAAAGACTAATTTTTCGCTGTTCGGCTCTCAACCTTACATGTGATTTGAGTTTTTGGCCCGCCGAGCGATTGAGTTTGACACCCCGGGCTAAGAAAACTCACTGAGTGGCTGGTTTTGTTGTTTGTTTTTTTTTTATCGTTTTTTTGTTTGTTTGTTTGTTGTTTTTTTAACTAGTAAATTAGTTTATTTTAAATGTCTTGTGTTCAAATTGTTATATTTCTGAGCTGAAAATGTACCATGGAATCATAAAACATTTCCATTTTGTTTGGATCAATAAAAGAATCGTATCTTATCTAATCTTAAACGCTTCAACTTAAAAAGAAAAATCTACAGCTGATCTTTAGGCACCTGTAAAATTGATATCCGCTCCAAATAGCCCGAATTAACCCAAAATAAGTGAAATAAAGAGATACTGGCATTTTGTATTTCAAATAGTACGATTCGAATAATTTTGTGGGAATATTGAAAGATAAAATTTCTAACTAAGATGATATTATCTATCGAACCTGGGGTCCTAAAACTTTTTTAATCAAGGGGCCGGCTCACAGTCCCCCAGTTGTAGTTACAAAAAGGTAAATACAGTAAACTGCTTAAAATGAAGAACAGCTTTTAAATCCACATACAGTATTTCCTTTGTCCCAGGAACTAGATATTTTCTGTGATTTCTTTATAAGCAAAGTTGCTGGCATTCGCGCTGAGCTTGATCGTTTTGATGCACCACCCCTTGATTTTCCTCCTTTTCCTTGTCTTACTTCACATTTCGATATTTTTAAACTTGTTTCAGATCTTGAGGTGAAAAGTATAATTTAACATCTAAATCTACGTCATGTTATTTGGATCCCATCCCCACCCCCACCCCAGTTGGTTGAGTCATTAGATCATTTGCTCCCAACGATAACCCACATAATAAATGAAAGCTTGTCTTCTGGCACTGTTCCCCCTCTTTGTAAATCAGCTGTCATCAAACCATTGCTTAAGAAGCCTTGTCTGGATTAAAATAATTTAAAAAATTATAGACCGGTATCTAACTTATCATTTTTATCTAAAGTTATTGAAAAACTAGTTCAAAAACTACTTTTTGCTTATTTAATTGACCACTCCCATTTCAGTTCTAATCAGTCGGCCTATAGACATTTCCACAGCACAAAGACGGCCCTCTTGAGAGTGACCAATGACCTCTTGCTCGTTATGGACAGTGGTGATATCTCCATCCTGATCCTCTTAGACCTCAGTGCGGCCTTTGACACTGTTGATCATGTAACCCTTTTCAAAACCCTTGGACATTTCTTTGGAATTTCTGGTTCAGTTTTGGCTTGGTTTAGGTCCTACCTCTCTGATAGATTGCAGGTGGTCTCTGTCGATGGCTGTCTCTCAGGCAGTGCTGATTTGGTGTACGGAGTGCCACAGGGGTCCGTTTTTAGGCCCGGTTCTGTTCACAATGTATACCAGACCACGGCTCCTCTTGATTGGGAGGCATGCTGTTGAGAGCCAGTAATTTGCAAATGACACGCAGCTATACACGCATACCCACCCCTCTCTTGTCGATTCCGCTGTCCAGACTTTGCGGGGGTGCATTGATGATGTCAAGTCATGGATGACACTCAGCAAGTTAAAGCTTAATGATGACAAAACGGAAACATTCCTCATTCACAATCACACATCATCCTCTACCTCAACTCTTCCCACCTCATTTATTTTACTAGGAATCTTGGTTATATTCTTTCAAACAACTTGTCTCTCGATAACATATCTCTCACATTTGTCGTTCGGCATACACCGCTATCGTCAGATCAGTTCCATCCGCCAATACCTCACAGTTAGCGCAACAAAAACCATAGTCTGTGATCTTGTTCTCTTTGTCTTGACTATTGCAACTCTCTTCTGTCAGGTTCACCAAAACACTGCATAGAAAAACTGCAGAAATGCAAAACTCAGCTGCTAGGCTAGTTCTAAAGACAAAAAAAACGTGATCACATCACTCCACTACTCAACTTCCTTTATTGGCTCCCTATAAAGACACGCATTGACTACAAGTTTTCTGTTCTCTGTCACAACTATTTCTCGGACTCCTGCCCTTCCTATCTAACCAAACTTCTTTCTGTCTATTCACCCCTTCGACAGCTTCGCTCCTCCGCAGATCCGCGTATTCTGTCCATTCCCAAGACACACACTAAAATATATGGTGAACGATATTTCTCTTTCTGCGCCCCCAAACAATGGAATTCTTTGCCACTACACATCCGCAAAATACCAACCACCCAGGCCTTCAAAACTGCACTCAAAACGCATCTCTATAAACTATACTACCCTGACTGATTCCCCTCCTTTGACCGAAAAATGATCTTGTTGGCTGCCGTCCATGGTTTGCCTTGTAAAAGTCCTGGGATTCATGCTGTTCTTTATTTCATAATTGTATTTGATGTTAATGTCATGATTATGCCTCCTTTGATAATATTTTTATGTACAGCACGGAGAGCCCAGCCCTAGGCTGGGGTACCGCGATATAAAAGACCACTAATTATTAGTATTATTATTATTATTTCAATAGGACATCCAGGGGTCACTTTTTCTTTTTATGCTGGTGTGGCATTTTTGGACAACGGCAGAGTTTGAATTGTGAAAGGGGGGACGGCAAAAATATTTGGCCACTTATGGCAGCTATGCAACTAGGCAGTGTATCTATCGATCGTAGATAGATTAATCGAGACGTAGGGTGGTAATCGACGGCGTCGATGAATCTTGATCGGTGGAGGGGTTTTGGGGAGCTTTCTCACCAGAAAATTGTTGATTATTTCAAAATATGGAGGTGTATTTTAAGTATACTTGAATTCGATGTTTCTGTTATACTTTTTGAACAGGGAAGAACATTTTTAAAGTTTTGCGGGAGGCATTATTTAGCCCAGTGCCAAATATAAACTGAATTCACTCCGTTTGTGGCATGACACAGGATAATCATTAGGGATTTGCTTATAATCAACCCCATAGTGTACCATTGATCAGCGTGATGGAAGGGGTGCATAATTAAAGGGGCTAAATACAGTCAGGCAAACTCAAAATGAAGGGGTTCATTATTTTGGCGTATATTTGAATTTGATGTTCCTTTCAGACAATTTTGAGGTGGCATTTCAAACATCTGGGTGGTAAATGGCAAAATTAGCAATAATAATGAACAAAGACATTTTAAATTCCGCACCCGCGGGACGTAAACTAAATTCATTCCAGGTGTGGCACCCTTGGGGGTAAGCTTTTGCCCTAGATTATTCTCGACCCTTAAATCTTTATAGTCCCCACAAATTTTTGATAAATTAAAAATACAAGAACGCAATTTATCAGATATCTGAATATAGTTTTGCAACATTCTACAATTAATTGGAGAGCGACGGAAGAGATCATTACTTAAAAATGTTGACTTAACATTATAACCCTAGTGTGCGCACAGCAGCTTCTACAACTGCACGGTGCCTCTGAGATTGTAGGGGATTCAAAATGTGATGAGGATATTTTCTTAATTATCATCTTTCAGTGCAGATTTTTTTTTGGGGGGGGGGGCAAAACGTAAAGTGATTGACCTGCTTGTATTATGCACACACAAAAATTATATAACTAAAAACAGTAATGTGCCTTTATTTATATTTCCCTTATATAGGGGGATGGCTATTTATTAATATATGAATTTTAAAAAAATAACAATTCAATTAGAAAAGAGTTCCATCCCTAAAAAGCACTGCAAACATAACTTAATATGCTGCACGCAAACGTAAAAAAAACATACTACCTTTTCTAAATAATTTTAAATTTTACAATAGTCAAACAGGAAAAAAAACTGTTAATTAGAAATTGCTATACATTTGTATGGGTTTAGAAAACTGATCATTTTTATAAATAGTATATGAACGGCCTCACTAATTTAAGAAAACATTAATTCTTTACATAAGCCATTATATATTCACTAATGTGTGATTTTATCTAAGGGAAATCGTATGCAAATAAAGTATACATTTCCCAATATTCAGTTGATTGAAAAGTTTATTTGGAATTTCAAATTACTATAACTTTCTTCAGATAAATTAAAAATTGCCTCTTCCCTATACTTAAGAATATTTTAAACTAAATATACTGAATCTATTTTAAATTGACCATTTAGGAATAAGAATGTTGTATAAAACTGGGACCAAAAATAGGAATTGGCATGATAATCGAAAAGCTAGTTCACACAAAAAAAAATTCTTAGCTTTCTACTGGATTCTCATCTAAAATAAAATTAATAATGTATAAAATGAGTGCTAATAGATGGGGAAGTTTGTTTATTATTATGATATTAAATTTTTTAAAGAGAAAAGCAGTTGGGACGTTAATAATAATAAATATAGGCTAAGTATTATTTTTTTAATCTGTTTTTCAGGAAACTTTGAAACAAAGGTAGCACATTTAAAGAAAACAAAAACACTTTCCATTTAATAATAATTGATGAAACGTGCACTATTTGTATGCGCCCATTAAATTATAAAATTAGAAGAAGAAAAAGCTTGATGTCATCTTACAATGTATAATTAACACCTATCCCTACTTTAAAAGTTCTGGTTTTACGATGATCTATAATTTGAAAACAGATTGCACATGTTGAATACTTGACTAACTATTTTTTAAATTGTAGACCTTTATATGTATGTAAATGTATTTTAATAGAGTGTTATTAAAGAGTTTAAACTTGTGAAGTTTCAAAAAATAAATCAATAAAAATAGCGATATATGTGAAAAACAGGAAGTAAGACTGAAGCAGCCAGTATGATACTTAAAACCGAATGCTCTAACAACGTTAGCCTTTAATATACGCATCATTAAATATATCGGGCCTAGCAATATTTTATTACTTCCACTAATTGTACTCGGTTAAAGGAACCAGTTTATATTATTTTTTAAAGTGTTTAAAACTGTCATTTAGTCATTGCTAATAAAAAAAAATCATTATATTGATGTACACATTTTGCTGGGGGGGGGGGCACTTTACTTTACCCCGGAGGAGGGGAGTGCCCTACCAGAGAGATGGCTGAAAGAAGCCCTGCACTGCTACGTTAGTGAGGAGTGACGGTACACGCGCTTGCTCAACATTTCCAAGGTGCTATTTAAATCTGTACCCAATCTTCTCCCTGTTTCACCAATAGGACAAAACCAAAATCTTAACCAAACAATCACATAGATCTAAATCATATTTTTTTTAATAAAAAACATTTAATTAAAAATTTTTTTTAAAAAATAAATATTAATTTCATCGACCTGTTTTTATGCGTTGTAACTAAAAAATAATCAGAATAAAAATTGGCACCGATTTGTTAGAATTTTTTGCATTATATGTTTATAGGATATAACGCCACATTAGAAGTCCATGTTCCCCACCGGCCTCCAGCAGCGGATGCATTAGCACCAATTTTCTCCTTCAGCAGTCGGCTTGTCATTATCAATTACGGATTTTCTTTAATTTTATTCAGTGACAAAATATCTGAACTTATTTTATTGATATCATTTTATGTTAACTAAAGCCTGACACCTTCAAAAAACATGAAATAGAAAATTAAAACACTAACAACAAAAATTAAAAGGCAAGAAATAGCATGGATATCGTATGAAATAGTGCACTAGGTTGACTCATCACAAATACCATGGATATCGTATGAAATATTGTTCACGTAACATGTTAATATTGTCTCGTGGCTCTGAAAGATACAACATGTTGCAAAAATTAAAACTTTACTTTTCGGGAGGTCAAGAAAATAACCTTCATAGGTATTGCTTGCGTACCCCATGGCGTCTTCACTGGTTGTCAATACTACTATACATCTCGCATTAACAAAACACAACATATGCTCATTAAACTGCCAATTAAAAATATTTTTTTATTGCTATAATAATATAGTTCAGGAGCATTAAAAATGTGCGGTTGTGGGCCTTGGGAGGGGGGGAGAGGTGCGGGAGAAAAAAATTGGGATTTTATAAAGTGCGTTACTTGTATGCATGTTTTGGTTTTCAGCCACACCCACATTTCTCGATATTACATTTTAGAAAGGTTGTTTAATTTAAAATTTAAATTTTTAACCCTACTTTATGATCATTTAATGGTACTTGCCTCTAATTAGGTTTTGTCCCTTGGACAAAGTCTAGATTTGCCCGAGAAACATATGGAATTCCCATGAATCATTTTGGTTTTTGCTATAATTTATTGTTCTTCCATAAAAATGTTCTTGAATGAACGTTGCAGTTAAAAACTATCAGAAAAACCCAATAAGGTAAATGTATACATTTACACTGATCATGATAAAAACTATTTTTTACACTTGTAAATATTAAGTAGACCAAACTTTAACATTTTATTCGTTCTTCGGGTCCTTTCCAATATGTCTGACGTGAATTTTATTCTTGTGATTCTGTCCATCATTTCTCTTTATATAGTTTATGTTTAAAAATACTTTTTTTTATCCTCAGACGAAATTTTCCAGGGGCTATAACTCTTGACACTTTCCCGTTTCTCTGGCATGCCATGAAAAAAGCTGGGTACCTGACGTCATGGGCCAATGCCGCCCCAAACTCGGCACCCCTCAACTACAGAATGATGGGGTTCCTCGAGCCGCCCACGGATTTCTACACGAGACCGTTCTATCTGGCCCTACAGAATCACACCGTGGCGTACCCCAAGTATTGCATTGGCTCACAGTCGTTCAGTCAAGTCTGGCTCAACTACTTCCGAGACATCTTCGTCATGTACAGAAACAAACGCAAGTTTCTTTTTCACTTCCTGGTTGACATGAGTCATGATGACAATAACCTCATAACAAAAGTAAGTTCTGAGTGTTTGTGTTTTTGTCTGTGCTTGAAACTAATTTCTCAGCATCCATGTTTCTACATTGTTTTCACTACTATAGAGAATAACTTCAAAATTGTTGAGTTTATTTTTTTGTATATTCTGATTTCTCAGCGACATTTAAAAAACACTAACGTTGCGATCTATCGGATATACAGTGACACATACCAAGATTTTCTCATATGTTTTTATCAAACTAGAGTCAAATGAGTCTCTTGGAAGTTTTTTAAAACTTTATATTAAATTCGCTTTTGTTCGTGCGTTTCTGGCTTGCAACATATTGGGACGGATAATTTATCCACTTCCCGTCATCTAATCAAGCTGCAACTTGCCACATACACTTGTTGACGATGACAACACAATTTTTCAAATTTTTAACCCTAATCTAACTACAAAAATCAGTTTTACCTATTTTCAATAGAAATAGATGAAATAAAAATGATGACGCTGAACTCACGAAATAAAATTTCCAATAACTGCGCTAAATTGAAGGCTTATAAGATATTCTAGAAGGTCCAATTCAGCTATGAATTTCAAAACAAATACTAAACAGGCCATGACTATGTGAAATTCAATATTAGTTGTATTTAGGTGTCTTCTAAGCCGTGGTATTTCTTTTAGAAGTTAATCTTCTGACAACTCATTTAAGGAAGGGGTTAATTTTAGAACGGACATCAATAACTCTTCTTAACTTGTTGATAATAGATCCTTGTGACAGCGCTTCTCGCGCAGGAACAATCTTCAGGGGGCTTAGGTTGGTCAACACTTTATCGTAAGTAAAGCCTTCAGTCTGCTACCTTCCTCAAGTAGATCAGCCCAAAGGTAAAAGTAGCAGATAAACGTGAAACCACAGTCAGCGTGTCAAATAATGTTTGCTGTAGGACAATAGTTTACAAATGTCAAGGGGCGGTGCTAGTGATGAAGCGGCGAAAATATGAATTTTTATTTCTGGGTTTTTATATATTTGGTTTCAAAAAACCTTTTTAAACATTTAAATTAATTTAAAGTAGATATTAGAAATGTTTGTAAAATATTATTTTGTTAACTCTATTAATGGGTAAAAGTCTGTTGTTGTTTTTTTTTTAATGATTCGATTCATGTGCTTATATTCCTCGAACACATCTTAATTGATATCCCATAAAAGCTTTATTTCTCAGAATTTATAGAAATATAGCATTGTGTGCTTTGTTAATTTGCAATTCATTATATGGGGCACCTCCATGAGATTGTGACAACTGGTGCGGTCCGTTCACCCAATGGCTCCATCTCACATATTGTAACGATTTTGTATGAACAACTTTGTTTTTAGTTGTTGTTTATTAGTTGTTTTTTAATCTCCCGCCAATTCAAACTACCATTTACAATCATTAAGGTCTGGTGGGTGTTAATTGTATAGATACCTTACGCGATGACATAGGGGAAACTACAAGTATGTTGGGTTTTGAAGTCCTCTGATTAATGAAGGGTTTTTATCCTAGGAGGGTCCAGTATTTGTCAGAGTGGAATTCAGAAAATGTTTTTAAATATATCAATATTGCATGCCATTTTTTTCTTTTAAAAATCTGTCAATGTATAACGATATTTTTTTAATTATTTTTTTAAAAATAATTTCTTAATAAAAGTGTTGAATAATTAACAAGAAGATAATAAGAGAATGTTCATCAACTTATGTTTATATTACAGATGGACGACGATACTAGAGATCTGATAAAGTTTCTTAATGAAGAAGATTATCTCAACAATACACTTCTGATTCTGATGGGCGATCACGGGGCAAGGTACAGCGCGGTTCGTTCGACCTGGTCAGGAAAACTGGAGGAGCGATTGCCCTACTTTTCATTTCTGTTTCCCAAATGGTTTCAAGACAAATATCCTGAAGCTATCAATAACCTGCGGACGAACACCAAACGCCTGACGACACCCTTCGATATTAACGAGACGTTCAAAGATTTTTTGAACTTCAATGGCACGGGACGCGGGAGTCTTTTTAACAGGGGGATCAGTCTATTTAAGGAGATCCCTCTGGAGCGAAGATGTGAACACGCAGGCATTGCACCCCATTGGTGTGCATGTCTTGCGTGGCGCAAAGTTTCAGTACACGAGACAGGAGCGAGCCACGCTTTGCAGACGACTTTGCACACCCTAAACAAGTTCACAGCGGCTTACCGATTGTACTGTGCCTTGCTGTATGTCGCCAACGTGACAGCTGTCACAAAACTTGAGACCAGGAAAGAGGTCCTCAAATTCTCCAAGACCGATGCCGACGGCGGGATCTACAAAATTGATTTCGAGGACGAGCACCAGAGTGGGGTCGCTTTGTACCAGCTGACCTTTCACACGATGCCGGGGGGTGGTCACTTCGAGGCCACCGTAACGCACGATGTGAGCAAGAAATCATTCACTGTTAGTGAGAAAGAAATAAGCCGAATAAATAAATATGGTAACGATCCCGCATGCATTTTGGATAAAAACCGACAGATACGGCAATATTGCTATTGTAAAAAGAATTTAATGTCTTAATGTTACAAAAATGTTTTAAAGTCGTTATTGTTTGTACAATATGACATATTATGTTAAAGAGTTTTTCAATCACATTCATCTCAAAAGAAGCATCGTAGAGAAGCCGCGGGTGCATTGTAACAAATTCTATCTTTAAAGTAACCCCATAAAACGATAAATTATCGAGTACAAGCTGCCAGTAATTTATCATAAATACTTGGAATAAGCTTTTATTTTCAGGATACTGTTAATGATAAGTAATCGTTATTTTTTAAATGATCGTGTGAAGTGCAGTGTAAATGACGAACATATCGAGTAAATCCTAAGTGATCTTAAAAGCACCACTTGTTTTTAAAACTATGCCATCAATTCCATGAAGTAGGTTTAAACAACAAATACATTGAGAAGTATGCAATAAAATAAGAAATGTTTAAAGCAAATTACAAAATTTATTCCTATCTTCGGAATTAAAAAATAAGTCCAGTCAAAATCAGCCTAAGTCTTGATCAGTGATCTCAACTTGTCTGTACAATACCGCCATCTCAACTTGTCTGTACAATACACCATGCTTTGAACATGTAACTAAAAAGAGAACGAAAAAAAAACATTATCACACAATTTAATAGGCCACAATGTTGTTCAACTAACACTTACTTATGTTTATGTATAAATAAAATGAACTGTTAAAATTGTTTATATATTTAAACTTCACTAGAATAACGGCTGCCAACATCATGAGACTTACGGGCTCTACATGCACTTTGCAGGGGTTTCTGCTAATCCCTTCCTCATAACACAACTAAACGCCAAATATTCATAAAACATCCCATAGAAAGTGAAAATAAAAAGGTCCCTAGGAGTGGGGGTCAAAATGTTTGGGAACCGCTGCACTAGAGCATTAGCCAACAGAATATTCCACATTGAAAGCTATTGCATTGGAAATGTGAATAGTGAATACAGAAATTTTTACATTGGATACTCAATTTTAATAAGTTGAGCTGACGTGATAAATAAGAGTTACTAGGTAAACTGAACAAGCTTTCTCCACAAAGAAAAAAGTTCTTGGGCTAACCTTTGTTAACAAAAAGTTGATCATTCCAACATTACATCGTAAAGATCACATATTAGTTGATTTGTCTTTGTCATCTCATCAGGAACTGAATATTTATATGTATAATTTTAAAGTTGAAAATTAAAACAAAGTAAGTAATGCAAAACTTAAATTGGCTATAATATAAGGTACCAGCACAGTTCATAAATTATCGAATATTAATTAATATGAAACTTCAATTTCTAAAACATATTTAGATCAGTAGTCCTAAGCTCAAAATATGTTAAAAACCAGGTAAATTAAGTTTTGCAAGAATGATATAATTTCGAGCCCTAGACACTTAGTTACAGTGACACCTGTAAATAAAATATTGCACGGGGAACAAAGCAAGATTGGTGTTATTCTCAGGTTAAGCTTAGAGTAAATGTCTGAGCGACTTCGTGCATATGCCATGGGCAGTGATATTTCACGGTTCGTTCTATCCAGGTTAGACTGTATACATTAAGACAATTGTATGATTATGATGATGATTGAATACTTGTATAGTGCTTGTATCTGTTCTATTGTAGCATGCTCAGTAATGTCTTAAAATGTATTTAAAGAAAAAAAAGGATTTACATTTTTCTTAAATGACTTTCTATCATTTTTCAATTTCCTCAAAGTTTGAGGCAAACTGTTTCATAATTTAGGCGAAACAGCTTCAAAAGAGCGCACCCCATATGACTTCTTTCTGTCTCCATCCACACTGGAAACTCTCACTAAGGATTGTGTTGAGGAGTGCAGGTTCTGTAAAGATACATGTTTATAAATCAATTTTTGAAAATATTCAAGTGCAAAGGCTTCTATATAGCTGTACACCAGAGACATAATTTTGTGGTCAATGCACCCACTCACAGAAAGCCAGTGGAGATATTTTAGAACTGGATGATGTAGTCAGATTTGTTTATACACGATAAAATGCATGCTGCAGTATTTTGTTCCTTCTGGAGTCTCTTGAATAAAACATCACCAATGTACCGACCAACCCAGCCTTCAAAACTGCCCCAAGATCATTATCTTCAAACTGTACTATACCGACTCATTCTCACCCCCCCCCCTCTCTAACATAGAGGTTGTACTGTATACTGGGACTTAACCCATTAAAATATTCACTATTGCGTTATAAATAATCGTGAAAATTGTCGACAAGATAAAGTTGTTTCTTCATTTCTTGATACCAGGTGATAGGGTGTCCCATGAGACTCAATGGTATTCGCAACCTGTCTATTAAAACTTGACTGCTGTTGAAAATAACAGAATGTTTTATATTTTAAGTGATAGTTTTGGTTCAAATCTTGTAAATATTTAGGACAAATAAGTCACCAAAAATAATACAAAATGAAAGTATAATTAAATTACAAAAACACCCAGAAGCATTAGCAATGCACTAAGATTTAATGCTCTGACTATGCTTACATTATTTAAAACAGCGAGGAATTAAATATTTATGATGCGTAAGCTATAAACCTTAGTGTCATCTGCATGAAAGTAAAATAATTATACTTTATCACTCCAATAACATAAGTTAACGAAATAACCAGTAATTCAGTAAATATATATATACCATTTATTAATTTCTAATTAATTAGATATAAAACAGTATTTTCTTGATATGTAAGAAGAAAAAATCCCCAAATGTATAGTTTAAATGAAAAAACCACTTCAACCGGACTAAAAACAAAAGTGATTGATTATAATATTAAATTAATAACCTTGTCATTAAAAAAAACAACAACTCAAATTAAAAGCTTTACCTTGATATGTCTTGATGCAAGTTTAAATCACATCGTAATAACCTATGAGTCATCAAAGACCTCATATATTTTTTTTTTTTGGGGGGGGGGAGGCAACATAACAGTAAAAAACTAAAATTTCAATGGTAAATCATTAAATAAATTATAAAAAATTAGCCTAAATGATTAGTATTTTTTGCTGTTCTTAATGTTAGATGAATCATGACTGAGGTTAGATTTTTAAAAACCATTCACTGCAAAATTTATAATAGAAATAGTAAACGTAAATGAATATGCCTATTAAAAGAAAAAAAGTCCTTTACTTAACTTCATAAACTAATTTCAATCGAACTATTACTTATTTGATAAAGTCGATTTAAATTTAAATAAAGTTAAATAATATGTTTTAAATAAATTTAATATTAATACAATGATATTATTACCTGTTTCAATCTATAACTGCAGTGAAATTTAACCCGAACGGAGTAACGATGGCAGTAAAGCGTGGACTGATAATTTCAAACAGTAAAGTCTAAGATTTAGATTGGAAAAAAACGATTTAAATTGTACTGAACCAGATGTAATGTCAAAATTCGAATTATGAAAGGCACGAAATAAAGTTTTAACTATTATACATTGACATGTATCTACAAACATTATTAATTTTCTAGTAAATGTTCTATAGATCTTAAGAATTAATTAAAACACTTATGTTAAAATGGTGTGCTTAACTACGACAAATTTATTAATGCAAGAAATTGTCATTTTGTTCAACTTTTTTAAGGCTTACCTTTAAACAGATTTTTATTGCAAATGAAAATTGATTACATTCTTTTACTGATTTTTAATAACTGCAAGAATGATCATTCACAGCAATAACTCTTATATATATTAAGCTTCTGGTGTGACTCGCGGACTGCTACTGCTTCTATTTCTGGCTGCCTCCTATTCAGCGTAGTTGGTTTTGAGATTCTATTGTTGTTGTTTTTTATCCGTCAAGATTGACTAGTCATAGGTTAGGGGGGGGGGGGGGGGGTGAAATCGTAGGTGGCCTTCTAGTCCGATCCGTGCTCGGAATAGTCTCTGGCACCGCGGGTGGGGGATGGTTTCTGTAGTTGGTGATCTAATGTGTTTTTTTCGGGATAGCCTGCGTGCCTCAGCTGTGGCTGCCTTACTGACATCATGAGATTGAGCCCCATTCTTGACATCTGATCTCCACCTGGCTCTGTTCTGGGCTTTCTGCACCCATTCAATAGGGTTGATGCTGAAGGCCTTTAGTGCCAATTTCAGTATGTCCTTGTAACGCTTTCTTTGACCTCCTTGGGACTGCTTGCCTAGCGTGAGATCACCAAAGAATAGCTGCTTAGGGAGCCGATTGTCTTCCATACGGGCTACGTGTCCCGTCCAACGGAGTTGAGACTGCATCAGGGTGGTGAGGATGCTAGGTAAGTTCGCTTTTGAGAGGACCTCCGTGTCAAGCCGTTTGTCTTACCACCTGATGCCGAGGAGTTTCATGAGGCAGGCTTTGTGAAAGTGATTTAGTTTTTTGGAGTGGCGCTGGTTGATATACCACCTTTCACATCCGTAGAGCAATGTCGAGAGGACTGTTGCGCTATAGACCTTATTCTTCATTTCTCGTCTGATACCTCTCTTCTCCCATACAGTGCTTCGTAGTCTGCGAAATATTACACTAGTTTTTGCGAGTCTGGCATTTATTTCGTCATCCATGACAACAGTTCTAGTGAGAGTGCTTCCCAAGTAAGTAAATTTATCCACCACGTTTAGAAGCTTCCGCTGGTGGTGATGCTAGGTTCAGCGTTGGGCCTACTGGGTTCTGTCTGATACATCACTTCAGCCTTCTTTGTGTTGATTGTGAGGCCAAAGTTCTTTCAGGTCTCAGAGAAGATATCAACGCTTTGTTGCATGGCCGCGTTAGAGTTTGCATTTAGGTCAAAATCGTCCGCAAATAGAAGCTCGTTGATGGTGTTTTGTTTGACCTTGGTTTTAGCTTGAAGTCTCCTTAGGTTGAAGACTGATCCATCGATGCGGAAATGTATTGGCACGCCCGTGGTGGAGTCCTTGCACGTATCAGACAGCATTGCAGGTTACATAATCCGGAAGAGTGTGGTTGCCAGGACACAGCCCTTCTTCAAACCGTTTGTGACAGAGAATGCTTGAGCTGACTGACCGCTGTCCTGCACTCGGACCATCATGCCATCATGCAACTAACGGATGATGTTGGTGAACTTGTCTGGGCATCCTTACTTCTTCATGCTGTTCCACAGGCCACCTCTACTGATCCTGTCAAAAGACTTATTCTATTACAAATAATTGTACATGTTTGAAATGAAGTATGATTCAATAATGAGTTCCCTAGCGCGCAAAATATATTCCTGCTTAATGATAAATATAAGAATGAGCTATGCTGATCGTAACGCCAAAGAACTCAAAATATTTAAATAAGTTCGTATTCTAAAAATAATCATATGTTAGGGACTTGAGTGTATAGTGTGATTGCGTGTTGGTTTGAGATTATGTGTGTTGTTTTATTCATTATTCTTGGTATCTTGTGACGTATTGTGTGGAAAGGGATATGACGTATTAGTATTGTAGATGGTGGTAGAGTGTTGTGCTTTGAGTACGGTAAAGCAGTTGAGGACTTAGTTGGATGAATAAAGATATTTTATACAAGAATTTATAGTTGTGAAGTGTATATAATAAACCCCTGGACAACGAAGCCAACGAACCTATTAACTAAGAAGAGGTTTGTAACATTTGGGGGCCCGTCAGGGATTGGGCGCCATAGCCTGCCGTGACCGCATACTGATGTATACTTATGCTGCTGGTCCTGTGTCCCGCTGGGTTTGAATCCTGCTAAACCTGCATCCTGCGACTACTACATGCTGCTCTACTGTATCCCGGTTTGACGTTAGGCAGCTGTCTTGCCTGTATCCTGCCGGGCCAGTATCCCACTGAGCCTGTATCCAGCGACCATCGTATGCTGCTGTGCTGTTTCCCGGTTTGACGTTAGGCCGCTGCCCGGCTCGTCTCCTGCTTGGCCAGTATCGCACTGGGCCTGTATCCAGCGACCATCGCATGCTGCTGTGCTGTTTCCTGGTTTGACGTTGGGCCGCTGTCTGGCCTGTATCCTGCTTCGCCAGCATCCCACTTTGCCCGCATCACTCTGTGACTGCATCCTGACGTTACTGTTTCCTGCAGTGCACTGCGCTGTACCCCTATTTGACATTGTACTCATGCCCGTTCAGTGACAATAATTGTGCTCCAGAGATCCGTGAGGGACAAGATAAAGACTTGAGTTACTTGTTTTATTTGTG